TGGTCTAGATCCATCATTGTTTGAGTCCACAGTGCTCTACCTGGATGTAAGTGAACTACAACTCCAAAACTCAAGGTCAATTGCCACCAAACCCTTCCAGTATTTTCAGTTAGTCATGGACGTTTTGAGAGACAAGACTGGTTCAATTCCATCATTGGTGGAGTTCAGAATGCTCTTTGGTTGTAGGTGAACTATAAATCCCAGAAACTACATCTCTCAAATGTCAAGCTCTATTTTTTCCCAACTCTACCAGTGTTCACATTTGAGCATATTGCACTTTGTGCCAAGTTTGGTCCAGATCGATCATTGTTTGAGTCCAAAGTGCTCTATCTGGATGTAGGTGAACTACAACTCCAAAACCCAAGGTCAATGCCCACCAAACCCTTCCAGTATTTTCTGTTAGTCATGGAAGTTCTGAGTGACAAGACTGGTTCAATTCCATCATTGGTGGAGTTCAGAATGCTCTTTGGTTGTAGGTGAACTATAAATCCCAACAACTACAACTCTCAAATGTCAAGCTCTATTTTCCCGCAACTCTACCAGTGTTCACATTTGGGCATATTGGGTATTCATGCCAAGTTTGGTCAAGATCGATCATTGTTTGAGTCCAAAGTGCTCTACCTGGATGTAGGTGAACTACAACTCCAAAACTCAAGGTCAATGCCCACCAAACCCTTCCAGTATTTTGTGTTGGTCATGGGGTTCTGTGTGACAAGTTTGGTTCAATTCCATCATTGGTGGAGTTCAGAATGCTCTTTGATTGTAGGTGAACTATAAATCCCAGCAACTACAACTCTCAAATGTCAAGCTCTATTTTCCCAAACTCTACCAGTGTTCACATTTGGGCATATTGCGTATTCATGCCAAGTTTGGTCACGATCGATCATTGTTTGAGTCCAAAGTGCTCTATCTGGATGTAGGTGAACTACAACTCCAAAACCCAAGGTCAATGCCCACCAAACCCTTCCAGTATTTTCTGTTAGTCATGGAAGTTCTGAGTGACAAGACTGGTTCAATTCCATCATTGGTGGAGTTCAGAATGCTCTTTGGTTGTAGGTGAACTATAAATCCCAACAACTACAACTCTCAAATGTCAAGCTCTATTTTCCCGCAACTCTACCAGTGTTCACATTTGGGCATATTGGGTATTCATGCCAAGTTTGGTCAAGATCGATCATTGTTTGAGTCCAAAGTGCTCTACCTGGATGTAGGTGAACTACAACTCCAAAACTCAAGGTCAATGCCCACCAAACCCTTCCAGTATTTTCAGTTAGTCATGGAAGTTCTGAGAGACAAGATTGGTTCAATTCCATCATTGGTGGTGTTCAGAATGCTCTTTGGTTGTAGGCAGGGGGCCCCAACCCATTACGCAAAGTAAGCATTTGCAGTATAGTTGATTTTGCCCAGGGGCGCTCTTGAGGCGCTCTTGGGGGAAAATAGACCTGGACATATGTGAGTTGTAGTTACTGGGATGTATAGTTCACCTACAATCAAAGAGCATTCTGAACTCCACCAATGATGGAATTGAACCAAATATGGCATAGAAAATATATATCAGTGTATTGTCGAAGGCTTTCATGGCCAGAATCACTGGGTTGTCGGGCTATATGGCCATGGTCTAGAGGCATTCTTTCCTGACGTTTCGCCTGCATCTATGGCAAGCATCCTCAGAGGTAGTGAGGTCTGTTGGAACTAGGCAAAAGGGTTTATATATCTGTGGCATGACCAGGGTGGGACAAAGGACTCTTGTCTGCTGGAGCTAGGTGTGAATGTTTCAACTGACCACCTTGATTAGCATACAATGGCCTGACTGTGCCTGGGGCAAACTTTTGTTAAGAGGTAATTAGGTGTCCAAAAAAACCTACAACAACCCAATATATATCAGTGATTTTGTGGGTTACCACAACATGAGGAACTGTATTAAGGGGTCACAGCATTAGGAAGGTTGAAAAACACTGGACTAGAGAAAAACAAGATGCAGTGGGTTCAGTTTGAAGATGCTATGAATTGCTGGTTACGTCATGTTGCAAGGACACTAACAAGGCTATAAAAGGATGCAGAGTGGAAGTTGGAAGGAAATAGAAAATGGCACCCACAAGCATAATACTACTTAGTTAATAAGGCTGCCGGCTTCCTGACTCTTCTGTGTTTGTGCGGAAGCAAGGAAAGAATTACTGCATACAAATATAACATTTTATATCTGGAAAAGAAACCTATAAACTCCCAGTCTGGAATACAGAGGGAGGGTAGAAGTTTGCTTATCACTTTCCTAAAAATGCATACCCTTATACCTACACGCATTTCAAAACTTTACCCCTGTCTGGGGGAAAGTGGGAAGCAATACACAAGCAATCCTCCCTCCTTTCACACCAAAAAAATCATCATATTTCCAAAACTTTAACCTTAATAGAAGCACCCATAAGGGTTTTGTTACCTTTCCATGAAACATGGAGCCTCGCCTGAAGTACACTTTAAACTTAAACCTCCCAGCAGCACCTGAGAGCCTTTCTCTTTAATTTTGGATATATAATTCAGGTGATAGTTATCCAGGAGGCAGGGGTAGGCACTCCAGGCAACTCACAGCTGCAAACAGCACCCTGCTTAAGGCCAATAAATAATAATAATAATAATAATAATAATAATAATAATAATAATAATACTTTATAATTCAGGTGATAGTTATCCAGGAGGCAGGGGAATGCACTCCTGGCAACTCACAGCTGCAACTAGCATCCTGCTTAAAGCTAATAAATAATAATAATCTATATAAATAAAAATGTAATGTTCGTTTGTGGTATCCACAGAACTCAAAAACCACTGGGGCAATTGGCACCAAATTTGGACACGATACACCTAACAACCCAATGTATGTTCTCCACACAAAAAATAGATTTTGTCATTTGGGAGTTGTAGTTGCTGGGATTTGTAGTTCACCTACAATCAAAGAGCAATCTGAACTCCACCAATGATTGAATTGGGCCAAGCTTAGAACACAGGGCTCCCATGACCAAAAGAAAAAACCGGAAGGATTTGGTGGACATTGACCTTGAGAATTATAGTTCACCCACATCCAGAGAGCACTGTGGACTCAAACAATGATGGATCTGGACCAAACTTGGCACAAATATTCCATATGCCCAAATACGAACACAGATGGAGTTTAAGGGAAATAGACCTTGACATTTGGGAGTTGTAGTTGCTGGGATTTATAGTTCACCTACAATCAAAGAGCATTCTGAACTCCACCAATGATGGAATTCAACCAAACATGGCATACAGGACTTCCATGACTAACAGAACACACTGGAAGGGTTTGGTGGGCATTGATCTTGAGTTTGGGAGTTGTAGGTCACCTATATCCAGAGAGCACTGTGGACTCAAACAATGATGGATCTGGACCAAACTTGACACAAATATGTCATATGCCCAAATATGAACACAGATGGAGTTTGGACGAAATAGACCTTGACATTTGGGATTTGTAGTTACTGGGATTTATAGTTCACTACAATGAAAGGGCATTCTGAAACCCACAAACGACAGAAATGGGGCAAACTTCCCACACAGAACCCCCATGACCAACAGAAAATACTTAAGGCCATCCAGTCCAATTCTCTTCACCAGGGCAAGAAAACGCAATCAAAGCCCTCCTGACAAAGAGCCATCCAGTCATAAACATAGATAGATAGATATGATTCTCTCTCACACACACAGACATAGTATCATAGATTTGAAAGATACCCTTAAAGAAGGACTATGATATGTTGCATATCCGAGAGTAGGCAAACCAGACACTCTCCACATCAACACTGACAAAGAAACAAGAAGAAATGCTGCTTACCAACAAGCATAAATGAATTACATATATTAGAAACCAACACTTTCTCATTACTTTATTTTCCAGATCACCAGACTGGGCCACAGCAATGCATAGTATAATTAGTATAGTATATGCATAGTATAATAATAATAATACTTTATAATTCAGGTGATAGTTATCCAAGAGGCAGGGGAATGCACTCCAGGCAACTCACAGCTGCAACCAGCATCCTGCTTAAAGCTAATAAATAATAACAATAATAATAATAATAATAATAATAATTTATAATTCAGGTGATAGTTATCCAAGAGGCAGGGGAATGCATTCCAGGCAACTCACAGCTGCCACCAGCATCCTGCTTAAAGCTGATAAATAATAATAATAATAATAATAATAATAATAATAATAATATACTTTATAATTCAGGAGATGGTTATCCAGGAGGCAGGGGAATGCACTCCAGGCAACTCACAGCTGCCACCAGCATCCTGCTTAAAGCTAATAAATAATAATAATAATAATAATAATAATAATAATAATACTTTATTTATACCCCGCCACCATCTCCCCAAGGGGACTCAGGGCGGCTTACATGAGGCCAAGCCCAACAACACATCAGTAAAAACAAAACAGCAAGCAAATAAAACAGTACAATTAATATAACTCACATATAAACAATAACACAGAGAATTTAAAACCTTATGGCCGGGCCAGATGTAATAAATTAATTTTTTTAAAATAAACACTGGGCATGAACAGAGGTAGGATGTATCTAAGCAGGAAGGTTTTAAAAGATAATGTAGGCAGACCAACCCAATGGGTAGTAAAGTGCTTCTGAAGACAATTGCAGGGAATTACAAAGCAGGGCATTGTTTCCTTTATTCAGGGAAGGCACACTGGAACAGCCACGTTTTCAGGCTCCTCCTAAAGACTGCCAATGTGGGGGCTTGTCTGATATCCTTGGGGAGTGAGTTCCAGAGTCAGGGGGCCACCACAGAGAAGGTCCTCTCCCTCGTCCCCACCAATCACACCTGCGAAGAGGGCGGGAGCGAGAGCAGGGTCTCTCCGAGTGGGTTCGTACATAGAAATGTGGTCACGCAGGTAGGCAGGTCCCAAATTGTTCAGGGCTTTGTAGGTAAGCTCTGCCTAGCTGACTCCCTCCCCTCTTTTATCCTGCCAGATAGACTTTGAAGACGTGATCGCCGAGCCGGAGGGCACCCACAGCTTTGATGGGGTGTGGAAGGCCAGCAACACCACCTTTACGGTCAGCAAGTACTGGTGCTACCGGATCCTGTCGGGGGCGCTGGGCGTGCCCCTCGCCTTGCTCTGGGGCTTCCTCTTTGCCTGTGTCTCCTTCTGCCACATCTGGGGGGCCATGCCTTGCATCAAGAGCTACCTCATCGAAGTGCAGTGCTGTGGGCGCTGCTATGCCCTGTGTATACGTACCTTCTGCGACCCACTCTTTGAAGCGGTGGGGAAGATCTGCAGTGATGTCCGGGTGGCCCTGCGCAAGGAGCGTACCAAGGACTGAGGTTCCCTTCCGGACCAGGATCATCTTCCTCTCTTTCTTTCCCAGTGTTGGGCTAGGATCCAACCTCAGGTCCTGTTCTTTGAAGCTACACATGATGACAGTGGGTGCCACGTACTCCCTTGTCCTCATAAATAGCTATATTCTCCTTTAAGACACTGGTGGCCTGAGCTGCACCATCCTAACTACATTGACAACCAGCAGAACCTGGTGTAAACATCTTCCACAATCCTTCCCGGAATAAGCCGCTGTAAAAAAAGTCTCAATCCTGTTCCTTTCATGCAGGCTTTGAACAGGTCTTCTAAGTGGGATCAGACCCCACACACAACTCCTAAGTGTGTCTTCCCTCCAACCACTCTAAATAGTGCTTACCCATCTATTTCCTTAGGTAATAATTTCATAGAAGGGGGTGTTTACAGACCCAAGGCATTTTTTTCTGATACTGGAACTGTCTCATTATATACCCAATGATTTTTCACTCCTACAGCTGATACTGTCATCCACCTTGCTATAGCATACCATTGGAATAACATCCTTGTTAAGGAAGGATTTCACGGCAAGGCTACCCAATTAACACTGTTCTGTCCAGTAAGATGTACGGCTAGCATTGCTATGGCAATCAAATCCTTATTAAAGATGTTTGTTTTTTTTTTCTCCTGAGGGTGAACATAAGGTTGGTCTCTGTCTGTATCAACCATAGCATCCAACCTACACTAAGAGATATGCAGTTAGGTTGTCCTGGTAGCTTTACTCCAGCTCCGAAGAAGACAATCAAGTGCAGAACTGTCAGCCTGCTGCAAGGCCTTCCATTATGCTCACAATTTGGGGTGTGAGTGCTATTCACAGTGGGCCTAGCACTCCATCATAATGTATTTTACTATTTTTTTTCACACCTGCACAACTTGGAAAATAAACCCCACTATTAAGCATGTGCAATTTTAAAGTTTAAAGAAATTGTCTTCAAGAAATAAATATTTTGATGGGTTGCTATGAGTTTTCCGGGCTGTATGGCCATGTTCCAGAAGCATTCTCTCCTGACGTTTCTCCCACATCTATGGTAGGCATCCTCAGAGGTTGTAAGGTCTGTGGGAATGAGGCAAGTGGTGTGTGTGTGTGTTTGTTTGTATGTGTATATGTGTGTGTGTATATATCACTGTGTGTGTGTATATATATATATACACACACATATCACTGAATATATATATATATACACACACACACACACATATACATATCACTGAATATATACACACACACACACACACACACACACATATACATATCACTGAATATATACAAACACACACACGCGCATATCACTGAATATATATATATATACACACACACACACACACACACACACACACACCAGCCGTCACCTGCCATGCATTGCTGTGGCCCACTGTGGTCATGCGGGTTCTGTGTGGGAAGTTTGGCCCATTTCTATCGGTGGGGTTCAGAATGCTCTGTGATTGTAGGTGAACTACAAATCCCAGCAACTACAACTCCCAAATGTCAAGATTTTATTTTCCCCAAACTCCACCAGTGTTTACATTTGGGCATATTTGTGTAGAGTTTGGTCCAGATCCATCATTGTTTGAGTCCACAGTGCTCCTCTGGATGTAGGTGAACTACAACTCCAAAACCAAAGGACACTGCCCACGAAACCCTTCCAGTATTTTCTGTTGATTATGGGAGAACTGTGTGCCAAGTTTGGTTCAATTCCATTCGTTGGTGGGGTTCAGAATGCTCTTTGAATGTAGGTGAACTATACATTTCAGCAACTACAACTCCCAAATGACAAAATCATTTTTTTTGAGTGAAGGACATACATTGGGTTGTTAGGTGTCTTGTGTCCAAATTTGGTGTCAATTCGTCGAGTGGTTTTTGAGTTCTGTTAATCCCACAAACGAACATTACATTTTTATTTATATAGATATGTGTGTGTGTGGAATGTCCAGGGTGGGACAAATAATTCTTGTCTGTTGGAGGCAAGTGTGAATGTTGCAACTGACCACCTTGATTAGCACTTAATGGCCTTGCAGTTTCAAAGCCTGGCTAATTCCTGCCTGGAGGTATCCTTTGTTGGGAGGTGTTAACTAGCCCTGATTGTTTCTTCTCTTGAATTCCTTTTTATTTGTTTTTTATTTACTGTCTTGATTTTGGAGTTTTTTACATTTCCAACACACCTCACAACCTCTGAGGATGTCTGCCTTTGATATGGGTGAAACGTCAGGAGAGAATGCTTCTGGAACATGGCCAGACAACCTGGAAAACTCATAGCAACCCATCAAAATATTTATTTCTTGAAGACAATTTCTTTAAACCTTAAAATTGCATATGCTTAATAGTGGGGTTTATTTTCCAAGTTGTTCAGGTGCAGCAACCCAGTGATTCTGGCCATGAAAGCTTTTGACAACAAACATTTTGATGTTCTTGCTCCTCAAGGTGCATCAACCATTATTCCAAAAGTAATCAGCAACCTGCCATTAATTTTAATTCCTGCCTTGAACTAAACAATGGCTGTTACTTCAAAAACACAAACAGAACAGAAGTGTATTGTGTGAAAATAAAAGGCAAGCAATCCATCAGTGTCTTGTTTATTCTGTATAAAATCCCAACTGGCAGGCACTCTCTGTGGAGTTTACAAATCCAGTTTATTGCATGAGACAGAGAATTAAAAGAGACACTGGGGGAAATCACAGTACAGAATCATTTCTGCCACAGAGCAATTAACACCAGGGCTATGTGTATGCTGTGATTCTGAAGGCGCATGGAAAAATTAAAAAAAAAACCAGGATGTGGCACCAGGCACAGTATTCGGCTGAGAATCTCAGCTTTTTAAAAAAGAATGCGCAAGTTTCTAGCCCTTATGGCTGCAAAGATATGCTTGGAAGTGGAGCTCAGTGCTTGATATTTTTTCAAAAAGTATAGGGATGGCTGAGTAAGACTTTCACCATCTGTCTCAAGTCCTTTCCCACTTGTGCTGACTTGCAGAAGCAGAAAATTTAGAAAATCCACATACATTTACTGAGTGAATCTGCACTTTTGGTGCAGGTTGCAAAATTCAGTTTTTCTCTGTGCTGAATTTGTAAGCCCAGGGTACGCACACTCCCTGACCAATGCTGAGCGGTTTTGAAAACAACGGAGGAGGGGAAACGCACTGGACTTTGGATGTGGGGAAAAAGAATTGGCAAATGGACTCCCACCCTAACTATGCCCACTTAACTTATTGCCCCAATGTAGGAAGGTGATGCGTGCAAAAATGGACGAAGGTAAACCAGGGAGGATGTGTGACAAGAGACAAATGTGTAAAGCACCAAAGGGCACGGCAATAATTGAATAATTGGAGAGGAAAAGAGATGGGGAAGGGGAGTACGGCTGGTGAGGGCTTGTGTGAAGCATGTCAGGGAAAAAGACACAAGTACAAGGGAGAGTGGGCCTTCCCTTCCAACACCTGGCATCATAACCCATAAAACACTATTCCCTCGCCCCAAAAGCTCAGCCAGAACAGAACAAACTCTGGAAGAGCCATTCCCACCTCACCCCGTTCACATGCAAATCCAAGTGCAAACCATTTTGAAGCAAGAGAGGGGATCAAAAAGGATGGGCGCCAGACCAGAAAAAGAAACACACCCCACCCCAAGCCTTAAGTCGGTCATATGTTCAAACACCCACCCAACATCCACAACACTTAAAACCTTCAGATTCACCTCCAGCATGTGAGGACACCGAGTCACAAATGCCTCCCCCCACCCTTAATTATTTGGCATGGAAATTAAAAATTCCCAAAAAATCAGCTCGCCAACTTCCCCCGCCATCCTCCAAATCCTTCCGCAGCTGGGCAGGGAGAGAGACTTCTGCCCTGAGATGGTATTCGGAAAAGGAGGGAAGGGGAGGCAAAGATAATCACAGTATTGGGCAGGTCATGCTGGGGGCACCTCCCTCGCCCCAAGTCTGGCTCATTCTCCATTCCCCGAGGATTTGAAGACCCCTCTGCCCCTCAGGAGCACCCTGTTTGAAGAGGCTTGCTTGGCAGGCGTGGTGCTGCCCTTCTTGCCAACAGGGATGCTCTTTGAGGGCTCTGGTGGCTCAGGGTGATTTAGGGGTTCATCTGCCCCCAAGTGCTTCAAGGTAGTTTTCCCAAGAAGTTCCTTAAACACAGAATCCATATTCCTGGCAACTTCCTAGATATGGGGAGAAAAGACAGAACACAAAAGTCAGGCAAAAAAAGAACCGCCATAATACGAAAGCAAGAGAATGATTAAATGGAAGGGAGAGAAGAGTAACTCACTTTGTCTACGGTTGCCATCGGCTTTTCAGAGTTGTTGCCTCCCCATGCCCTTGGGGAAATTTCACCCCAGCGGTCTGGCCTGAGAAGAGTAAGTGGTACAGGAAAAGTCATTATTTATTTATTTATTTACACCATTTCTACCCCACCCCTCCCCCCCCCCCCCGAGGGGGGACTCAGGGCAGCTAACACAGGCAGCAATTCGATGTCACAATATCAGTAACACAATGTAAAATCCTATTATATAGCAAATCAAAAACAGTAACATCTATATATATATAAATGCTCTGTGCGTAATGAGTACCTTAAAAACGAAAGAACCAATGAATGAAATCACACCAAATTTGGCAACGAAACATCTCACAACACAAGGAGTGACCATCACTCAAAAAATTATGATTTTGTCATTTGGGAGTTGTAGTTGCTGGGATTCATAGTTCACCTATAATCAAAGAGCATTCCGAACTCCACCAACGATGGAATTGAACCAAACTTGGCACACAGAACTCCCATGACCAACAGAAAATACTGGAAGGGTTTGGTGGGCATTGACCTTGAGTTTTGGAATTGTAGTTCACCTACATCCAGAGAGCACTGTGGACTCAAACAATGATGGATCTGGACCACACTTGGCACAAATACTCAAAATGCCCAAATATGAACACAGATGGAGTTTGGGGGAAATAGACCTTGACATTTGGGAGTTGTAGTTACTGGGATTTACCGTTCACCTACAATCAAAGAGCGTTCTGAACCCCACTAACGACAGAATAGGCACAAACTTCACACACTGAACCCCCATGACCAACAGAAAATACTTAAGGCCATCCAGTCCAACTCCCTTCACCAGGGCAAGAAAACGTAATCAAAGCCCTCCTGACAAAGAGCCATCCTGCTATAGATATAGAGAGATATATATGACTCTCTCACACACAGATATAGTATCATAGATTTGAAAGGGACCCCTAAAGAAGGACACTTATATGTTGCATGTTCCAGAGTACATCAACACAAGCATAAAGAAATTACATGTATTAGAAACCAACACTTTCTCATTACTTTATTTTCCAGATCACCAGACTGGGCCACAGTAACACGTGGCAGGGGACAGCTAGTTAATTATAATCACATAACCATATAATCACATAGTCACATAATCACAAAATCACATAGTCACATAGCCGTTTCCAATTATCGTAACAGTCCTGTGGTCCGGGTTCAGTGTCTAAAGTGCTGCTGTGCCCACTAGCCAAAGGCCTGGCTCCACAACCAGGCCGATCTGATCTCATTGGGGAGTGAATTCCACAAGTGGGGGGCCACCACTGAGAAGGCCCTGTCCCTCGTCCCTACCAGCCGCGTTTGCGAAGTCGGTGGGACTGAGAGCAGGGCGTCCCCAGTAGATCTTAAATTACGAGGTGGAACGTAGACAAGTAAGCTGGGCAGGAACCGTATAGGCCAAAAGTGTCCTACAGGCTCTATAACTGCAACACCAAAGTTGTAAGCTTCTTTTTCTAGATCTCTGCTCCTCTACCTTCAACTACGAGGGTTGAATAAAAAGTAATGCCTCCACCTTCGTAACTCCTCAACAGATGGCAGTACTGGTATGCGGCAGGTACTGGCTTGTTCAGTAGACTCTCCTCTACAGTTCCATTTTGGCGGGAAGCCTTAGCATTGAACAGTCGGTCACTGTGACTTAAGCAACGTGCAGTCATTGAATTCTTGATAGCAGAAGGTGTCACTCCAAAGGAGATTCATCAGAGAATGCAAGATGTTTATGGTGATTGTGTTGATGTGAGTACTGTGCGTCGCTGGGCGAGTAAATTTAAAGATGTTGAAGTGACACCTTCTGCTGTCAAGAATTCAATGACTACACGTTGCACTTTAAAAACACAATTGCATTCTCTGATAAATGTCCTTTGAGGTGACAACTTCTGCTGTCAAAAATTCAATGACTGCATATTGCTTAAGTCGCATTGACCGACTGTCTGCACAGAGTTCCAAATTATAACAGTCATTAAAACAATACTCAGTCCACAGACCCACTGATAGAACAATAAAACCGTATCCTCATATATATCGTCTTGCCAATCCATTTCCAGTCAAAGTGCTGCTTTATGTTTATTGTCCGAAAGCCTGGTCCCAAAACCAAGATTTTAATTTCTTCCTGAACACCAGGAGGGATGGGGTCGATTGTATTTCATTTGGAAGGGTGTTCCACAAGTGGGGGGCTACAGCCGAGAAGGCCCCGTCTCTCTTCCCCGCCAGCCACGTTTGCGATGTTGGTGGGAGGGAGAGCAGGGCCTCTCCGGATGATCTTATGTTACGAGGTGGGATGTAGAGGCAGATGTGTTCGGACAAGTAAGCTGGGCCAGAACCTTATAGAGCTTTAAAGCGCGGTTGGTGGGGACGAGGGACAGGGCCTTCTCTGTGGTAGCCCCCTGACTCTGGAACGCCCTCCCCAAGGACATCAGACAGGCCCCTATGTTGGCAGTCTTTAGGAAGAGCTTGAAGACTTGGCTATTCCGGTGTGCCTTTCCAGAATAGGAAACCCCAGCACTATACTAGAGACTTAAGATTGTCCGCACATTGCACTTACCCAAAAATCCTTATATTTCAACTGTCATCCTCAGCATTTTTAATCTGTACCCATCTACACTGGGCCTGGCCTTAGTTTTATTGTGCTACGGTGTATTGTTTTTACTGTTTATTGTTATTGCGTAATGTTTTGATTTGCTTTATGGTTTATGCTTTATGGTTTATGTGTATTGTTGTATTGTTGTTTTATTGAGGCCTTGGCCATTGTAAGCCGCATCGAGTCCTATAATAATATAGGTCAAAACCAGCACTTTGAATTGAGCTTGGAAGTGGACAGGCAGCCACTCATAATTGCATTTTTTGAACAGCTATGTTGGCAGGAGCTTGGCCTAACAGCGGGAACTCACCTTGCTCCCTGGATTTGAACCACCAACCTGTTGGTCAGCAAGTTCCGCAGTGCAGTGGTTTAACCCGCTGAGCTGCTTTAATATGTAACCTTTAATATTTCTTGTATTCCCATCTCATCTTTCCAGAATAGTGGTTCTCAGCCTTTTTTCCCCCTCAGATGCTTTGGACTAACTCCCATAGATACTTCCCATGCTGGACAGAGCTCCTGGGAGTTGTTTGAGAGCCAGTGGAGTAGTATGCATCGCAATAACTGGCCCTTGCTGCTACTACCTCCTGCAGTGCTCTCACCTTTCAGTGGGGTGAAAAGTCCTGGCATGAGTAGGCTGCAGGAGCGGGAAGGGAAGGCGGCCCCCATCCATGAAGGGCGACGCCAGCTTGCGGATGGGGCTGCTCCCACCACCACTGCCACGCTGGCGACCCCCACCCCCTGCGTCCGAATTCATCCGCAACCTGAGAGGAAGAAAGAAAAAGACAAGACAGATTTACCACACGGACTCAGCCCACGTTGCCCAGGCATGGCCATCTCTGGGGTGGAATGCAACAGTTCATACAGGTGCCGTCATCCTCCACCACGCAGCGCTGAGATGCTGCCGCTTCTTGGGAAAAGGTCCACTAGCCACACCGTCTCCTACCTGCTGGCGGGTTCAGGGAGCAGCTCATCCACAGAGGATCCCGTGTCAATCTCTAACCTGGAACTCCGGGGGCTAGATTGTTTCTGGCTGGCAGGATAAGTGACAGGGGGAAATAGAAACTTGTTAAAAGGGTGGGAGGAAGTCTACTCCCTCTCTAGTCTATGGCAGGCCTTTGTAAACTTTTTCACCTGGGACCCATTTTGCTATGAGAAAATTTTACATGACCATATAAAATAGATATAAAAATCAAACATTTACTGACAACAAGTCAGCATTTGCAAGGCTTGCTAAAGAGGCTGATTTTGAAATTTTATGAAGTAAAGCTGAAGCATCTTCTGCAAAGTCCACTATAAACACTCCACCACAAATGTGTGTATGTGTCTAAAACAGCCACAAGGTGACATCTAATATCCTGATACTATTGCCAAATTTTTCAGTCGGGGATGGGGAGGACAATGAACTAAGGGGCCTACAGTTTAAGAAGTAGTGGTCTAAAGCCTTTCCTGAGATTATGGAAATCCTGAGAAACAGAAGCAAAGATTCAAAATCAAAGGGTACTGCTCAAGCCTATGGACTTGATTTTTTTCAACCTCTACATTCCTTTGCTAAAATTCATAAGCCTTTAGGCCAGAGGTTCTCAACCTGTGGGTCCCCAGGTGTTTTGGCTTACAACTTCCAGAAATCCCAGCCAGTTTACCAGCTTTTAGGATTTCTGGGAGTTCAAGGCCAAGATATCTGGGGACCCACAGTTTGAGAACCACTGCTCTAGACCTTGTGACAGGGGTGATAGTATGATAGGTGGTACTGAGGCCTCGTGAGTCTCGGCTGCTTCCCCAACGGTGGTTGTGAATAAGGGAAGGGAACACGTGTCCGACCACGTGGTCGCACAGGGGGCGGAATGAGAGGGAGCGGAGTGAGACACGGAGGCGCTGTGGATTAGAAGGTAGTGTGTTGTTGGCTGAGAATTGTGTTTTTATTTGGTTGTTACAGTTTACTATTTATTTTACTATGTTTTTGCTTTGATGGATTGTTTTGCTTTTATGTCTTGTGGCCATTTTGACCTATATGTAAGCTGCCCCGAGTCCCTTTGGGGAGATGGTGGCAGGGTATAAGAATAAAGTTGTTGTTGTTGTTTGGGGAGATGGTGGCAGGGAAAAAGAATAAAATTGTTGTTGTTTGGGGAGATGGTGGCAGGGTATAAGAATAAAGTTGTTGTTGTTTGGGGAGATGGTGGCAGGGTATAAGAATAAAGTTGTTGTTGTTTGAGGAGATGGTGGCAGGGTATAAGAATAAAGTTGTTGTTGTTATTGAAAGAAGCATTAGAGCCCCAAGATGAAAAACTGAACTATAATATTTTCCAAAGGAGGAATTCACATCTGTTAATGCTTTCTTCCATAAAAACTACTTTGCAAGTAGAAAGCTAACACAGCAGAGGATATTATCTATCTGCATAGTTTTCTCTTGGCTGTTCCTATTTTCTACTTGCAGATAATAGGTCCTAATAATCCATCGCAACAAAAACGGAAACAGTCCAATCCATAACTGGTATCTATCTCATTTTACCAGTGTATTTTACCAGCAGTCTATCTCATTTTACTAAAAATGTAGACTGTGCTTGACCAGCACCATTCTCTTGCTCTTCAGCACCATCGAAAGCTACTTCTTAGAACTAGATCAAAAGATCATAAAACAGACAGAAGCATTTTAACTCAGAATTTGGGAACCTGAGCTCTAGGGAAGAATGTCAACCTGTAATGCCGAGGGAAACAGGATATGTTGCTACCTGAAGCACACCAGCAAATGGCCATCCATAAAATGTTATCTAGAAAGAATACATAGTAGTGAAGAAAATTGACACACTTTAATGATTGCGGCAAAGGTCAGAATGAGCACCTTTTTCTTATTTCACTCCAGGTTGGTTCATCAGGTGCTCTGCTATGGCTGATTTCTTTGGTTGAAGTAGTCTGAAGTGCCTTTCGTGTTCCTTGATGTGTGTTTGGGCAATGCTGTGTTTGGTGGTCCCTATGTAGACTTGTCCACAGCTGCATGGTATACAATGGTAGACTCCTGCAGAGGTGAGAGGATCCCTCTTGTCCTTTGCTGAACGTAGCATTTGTTGGATTTCTTGGTGGGTCTGTAGGTGGTTTGTATGTTGTGTTTCCTCATCAGCTTCCCTATGCGGTCAGTGGTTCCCTTGATGTATGGCAAGAACACTTTTCCTCTGGGTGGATCTTCATCTTTACTCTCGTGGCTTGTTCTTGGTCTTGCAGCTCTTCTGATGTCTGAGGTGGAGTATCCATTGGCCTGGAGAGCCCAGTTGAGGTGGTTCAGTTCATCTTGGAGGAGGTGGGGTTCGCAGATTCTTTTTGCACGGTCTGCCAAGGCTTTAATGGTGCTTCTTTTTGACTTGGGTGATGGTTGGAATTCTTATGTAGATATCCACCAAATGCAGCGCCCAAAACACGAATCAAGGAACATGAAAGGCACTGCAGACTACTTCAACCAGAGAAGTCAGCAATAGCAGAGCACCTGATGAACCAACCTGGACACAGCATATTATTTGAGAACACAGAAATGCTGGACCACTCTCACAACCACCATGTCAGACTACACAGAGAAGCCATTGAAATCCACAAGCATGTGGACAATTTCAACAGAAAGGAAGAAACCATGAAAATGAACAAAATCTGGCTACCAGTATTAAAAAACTCAAAAAATTACAACAGCAAAACAACAGAATAAACCATCAGGCACATCAAATCACCTCTCAACAAAAGATTCCCCCCAGGCACTTCCAAGCCATTAAATGCTAATCAAGGTGGTCATTTGAAACATTCACACCTAGCTCCTTTGTCCTTTGTCCCACCCTGGTCATTCCACAGATATATAAACCCATTTTCCTACTTCCAACAGACCTCACTACCTCTGAGGATGCTTGCCATAGATGCAGGTGAAACGTCAGGAGAAAATGCCTCTAGAACATGGCCATATAGCCCGGAAAAACCTACAACACCCCAGTGATTCCAGCCATGAAAGCCTTCGACAATACATTCAGAACAATGTCGTCCAACATCTCAGTGCAACCCAGTCTCTGCCATCTGAGATGGCTGCCTCAACCTGCCCAGTATAGGGCCAGTCCAGCAATAGTACAAATAACAGGCAACAAGCAAAGCAAATCCCAAAAGTCTATACAGACTTCCATTTGGAAACCTATCCTCATCAGTTAAGAGAGAAAGATGTAATCTTCTTCCAAATAAGACTGAGAGCTGCTGTTGCAGAGGACATCAACAGAGGGAAAGACCTTCCTCATCTAACTGAAATGCAACCGTAGGCAAACTGAACAACTGGTATCCAACAATATTCTGAACATGGCAGCCAATTGGTTTCTCATTACACTTTACCTGAAACACACTGCTTGGAGAAATGCAAGAATTTCAGTTACAATAAAGCAAGGGAGTATCTGGATCAGAATCACAATGAGGGGAGATTTATATATATATTTTTCCATTTTCCACCATGATCCTATGTTCTTATCTTATGATCTCATCAGACACCATCTTCTCTGTGACTTTTCCCCGTTTCTCTACGCTGCCGAAATGAAGTCCCAATGGAGTTCCAACTTCTAGCGGGACTCTGTGGGGCTCCATTTTGGCAGTGTAGAGAAACGAAGCCCAGGTGTTGCACCTCAGAATAGATTCACCTTGCTGAAATCACTAGAACTGCACACAGACTGAAGTCTTTGTAGTTTATTGAAAAGTAGAAGATGAAAAATTTAAAAAGCAAATAGTGTTCCTAAGATCAATAAAACATAGTACTGAAAAGCAGAATTCCAAATGGTACCGCCACCAACGAAACAAAGTCCCATGAGAACATGACAAAATCCCAAGACCATGTACACAGGAAAACGAGCACAAGCTGCTTGGTTGAGTGAGAAGTTGCTCTGACAAAGGTTTGTTTTCAAACACACTGCTTAATACCCTTTGCAATACATGAAAGCATTTCTCTGGCCTCTGACCTCCTTCTTGTTGGCTATTCTCACACTCCTTCGAACTCTAATTTCCAAACTGTCAGCCCAATCTAAGATTCCCGTTTCATCAAGGTCAGCCTGGTTGCCTTCCTGCCTACTATCAGGCTGAGAACTGTCCTCCTTTTTTGAGTCAATTTGCACCTGGCTAGTTTCAGCATCAAAAACGTAATTCCCTGCTGTGGGAAAATGAACTTGCATGCCCTGTTCCTCATTGTCTACAACAGGAACGTTTTGAATCTGATTGTGAACCTGAATCCCATCATCCTCATCAGAGTCACTCTGAGACCCCATCTGAGTCACATCACTATCAGTCTGTGTCTGTGGTTCCAGCCGAGTCACAACACCCAGGTACCTTTGGAGGAGTCAGATGTTACCTGACTCCTAATGACACAAAGCAGGGAACACAGGAGAAAGATGGACCTGAAGGGGGAAAGGATGTGGAATGACAGAAAACAGACCTTCTCGACAGGAGGGAACAGAGTAAGACTATTCCCCCCGTTGTCCCCCTCTTTCCCCGTTTGTCTGATGAGGTCCTTATACAGCGAACACCAGAAGTACAAGAATACAATAGAAGTACATTTAGATAGATAGATAGATAGATAGATAGATAGATAGATAGATAGATAGATAGATAGATAGACAGATAGATAGATCAGTTGATAGATAGATAATGGTCGATGGCCAGCACCAAAAAATGAACGAATGTCAGAATAGAAACATTATTATTATTACTACTATTACTATTATTATTATTGTGTTCATATGAAGAGGGAAATCACACTAGGGGAGTAAAAATTAACTCCCTCCCTCCTGGTCCTGATTATGTGGCCTTGAACCCAATTTTCTTATTTTTGAAGCCTTCACTTGAAACAGCACGTTGAAAAATAATATGAAGTGATGCCTTGAGTCTTCCTTTAATTTCCCTAATAGAGAAGACTCCCGATTGTAGCTGCTTCCCCAGGTATCTTGATGCTTCTACCTCTGTAACATATGTCAGTAAACCTAGCTTTCCAGTTTAAGGGCATAAGGCTCTTCCTGAATCCCCAACGGAGGGTATTAGGTCCTCCCTGCAAGGAGTGCCACTCACCTGTCCGGCAAGACAATAGGAGGCACTAGTCCCCGGTTGCCACCACGCTCACCTCGCCGCCAGCCAACGGGGGCCGCTCGCTGCTGTGGCACAAAGCGCTCCTCTTGCTGAGCCATGGAGCCAGAGCGGGACAGAACTTCGGATTGGGAGTCACACTCTGAGAGGGCAAGAAAGCGCAAGACTGGGAGGTCAAAGGGCCCCACCCACTCTCCAAGCCCTGAAGACCTTTCCAGAACCAGACCAGACAAAAACCCAGAGGAAAGGATGGCCCAGCATGGAATTACAGGCTCTTCCTGGAATTTCCCACTTTGTTGGAGTAGTTACAGATGGCATAATAAAACGTAAGCCAAGTTATAACAGTGCAATATTTTTACTGTTAGAGCTGAGCTAATGACACTTAGGTACATGAATACAAGTGGAATACAGAAGCCTGCCTTATGCAGAGTTGGAATGAGGAAATAAATAAGTAAATAGAAATTCCACCTAAACATTGAAAAGAACCTCATGACAGTAATTGCTGTTCAGAACATGGTAGAGTTTCCTTCTCAGGGGGGTTTTAAACAGAGGCAGGATGGCCATCTGTAGGGAATAGTTTGATTGTATATTCCTGCATGGCAGAATGGAGCTGAATTGGATAGGCCTCATGGTCTCCTCCAACTCTGTGATTCTATGAAACTATGGATAAATATATTTAAAACAAATGTAAAAGGCCAATTTATAACACATCCACATAGAATATCAATAATATACAACGAATGCCTGATTATCCCATTTTGTAAGAACACTAAAGGCATGCTATAACCATTCTTTAAAAATGTCTACACAAGCAGAAGGCTGATATAAACAAGCCGACACCTGAACAAAGTGTTTGCATCAATGGTGATCACTTTTCCTACCAAAATCATATGACTCTTGTTACTACAAGTGTTAATGGATTATCACAGATCACTGACTTGCTATATGGATTTGTTGTGATTCCTTTCATTTATAATATAGCAATATCAGTTTCACCAGTTTGCTTCCTGGTGGTGTTGGTTTGATGACTGTCAATCCTAAAAGCCAAGTCTTATGATTTCTTTTCTCTTGTCTTAAGCTAATTGATTACCATTACTGTACTGGGAGTGGCTCTTTGGGATTTCTGGCAGGATTCCTTCCCATCCTTACCTGGAAGGGACTGAACCTGGGTTCTTTTGCATGCAGACATGTCCTCTACTACTGAGCTACAAGGTGCACAAAGGACAATGCTGCTACATTTTAAACAAGAGACTGAAATTTGTTTGAGCAGTAAGAGGCAAAGGGGAAGCAAAACTGAGTTGCCTTCGGGCTGATATGGGCGGGATAAAAATAGTGTAAATAAAAGAAATAAACATTTCCAATCAGATCAATAATGGTGTTTGAGCCAGGCCGGTAAATCTCCTTAGCCCAGAACTCACTGCCATTGAGATCACTCACCATCTTCACTAGCTGGAGTTTCAGGGGTCCCCTCCGTCTCAGGCTCTTCTGCTGTGGTCTCCAGTGGCAAGACATCACTATCAGTGAGAAGAGATGAGACAAAGAGAAATGAAAAGCATTCCCTTGAAGGCCACTTTCAAACAGAATGAAAGATGTATAGCCTTAGAGACTGCACAATAAAGTTAAAACTTTCCCCTGATATTAAGTCCACTCTGGGGGTGGTGCTCATCTCCATTTTTAGGCCGAAGAGCCAGCGTTGTCGTAGATGCCTCCAAGGTCATGTGGTCGGCATGACTGCAAGGAGCTCCATTACTATCCCACAGAAGCGGTACCTATTGATCTACTCACATTTGCATGTTTTTGAACTGCTAGGTTGGCAGAAGCTTGGCGTAATAGTGGGAGCTCACCCCACTCCCCGGATTCGAACTGCCAACCTTTCATTCTGCAAGTTCAGTAGTTCAGCAGTTTAACCTGCTGCACCATCAGGAGGCCCTCGTCATAAGCAAACCTTACTCCTTTGTTTTTTTCTTTATGTTCCAGGTTGGTATTCCCTTCTACCTCCACACCAATCAAAGCCCTGCCTCAAAGCCATTCTGAGTCTGGCAAAGAAAGTATCTGGCTATGTCCCCGTAACTTGATGTGCATTGATAACACCATCAGCTAAGACTTTTGATGGATTCTAGTGGCCTTTGGCAAATGATAGAATAATTTTATCTCTGGCTATGTCTACATTTTTCTGATCTAACCACTCTCTGCTGGACTGTGGAGTGGGAAAGCTACAGTGGCTATCCAGTAAATCAATGGATTGGCAATTAGCTGAACTACTGGACCTCTGGTCGAGTACCATTTAGTATCTGGATTCAATCTAGTTTATGCTAGCCCAGTTACCATCACTGTCTATACAACCAACCTGCACAATTTGGTGAATGACATCACTGAGCCTGGAACCCCAGGTCTCAGCGGTGGCCGGGAGAGCTTTTGCACAATTAAAGCTTGTGCACCAGCTGCGCCCGTACCTTGGGAAGTCTGATCTAGCCACAGTGATCCACACTCTGGTTATATCCCAAATAGATTACTGCAACGCACTCTACGTGGAGTTGCCTTTGAAGACTGTTCGGAACCTCCAACTAGTTCAACAGATGGCAGCCAGATTGCTCACTGGAGCATCGTACAGGGAGCACACCACCCCCCTGTTACATCAACTCTATTGGCTGTCTGTCCATTTCCGAGAACAATTCAAAGTGCTGGTCTTGGCCTATAAAGCCCTATATGACTCCGACTCAGCTGACCTGTCCGAACATATCTCCCTCTATGTTCTGCCTCATAGTCTAAGATCCACCAGGGAGGCCCTGCTCTCAGTCCCACCAGCTTTGCAAACACGGCTGGTGGGGAGGAGGGACAGGGCCTTCTCGGTGGTGACCCCCAGCTGTGGAATTCACTCCCCAGCGAAATTAGATCGGTGTCCCCCCTCCTTTCTTTCAGAAGAAAACTGAAGACATGGTTGTGGAACCAGGCTTTTGGCTAATGGATATAACGGCACCTGGGTAACGTCCTTGCAGACAGCCAATTCTCTCACACCAGAAGCAACTTGCAATTTCTCAAGTCGCTCCTGACACGACAAAAAAAACCCCAAAAAACTGAACATTGAATCGGACCATACGATTGTTATAATGGAAATGGCTTTAAGATTGTATAACTAATGTTTGTTTTAATTTATTGTATTAGATGATTTTATCTTGCTATTATAATTGTAATTATTGCGGCATTGAATCGTTGCCTTTGTTAGCCACTCTGAGTCCCCCTGCGGGGGTGAGAAGAGTGAGGTAGAAATATTGTAAATTAATAAAATAAATTAAAACCCCACCTTCGAGCCCCTCCATCTCAGCCACCCAATTCATACCAGTACTCCTCTTCAGCCAGAGCCATGACTTTCTCATACTGTGGGCCCGGCAGCTGACTGGGTCCAGGGAAGATGGCTTCGTGGTGCACAATCAGGCACTTCACAACCTCATTGATGTGGGGCTGCACCGACACAGCATCCTGGCCTGCAGGGACTGTCATCAGCGTAGGGCCGAAGCACACAGCCAAGTTATGAGGATCCATCATGTTCTCGTCACTGTACTGAGAGAGGCTGGGGGGAGAAGATGAATGAAATGTGGAGAATGAAGAGTATTCCCTGGACTGTAGAAAGTCATCTCCGCAGAAACCCTGCTGAATTGACTTCCAGTCCTATGTTGAAAGGATGATGGGAAAGAGCAGGGCAAGGACACACTTGCCAACCAATGTCAAGATACTCACTGATTGAGGAAGGCAAAGAGGTACCGCAGAACCACCAGAACCGCAGAGGGGAGCTGGGAAATGAGGGCTCGGAGGTGGGAGATGCGTTCAGCCGAGGACTCCAGTTCTGGGAAGCAACAGAAAAGAGATCAGAAGTGGCTGTGGACCAGATTACCAATTATGCATTCATTTTCACACACCAGTATACAATCCAATAAATCCAGGGCTGCTAGTTTTGGGTTCTGGGAGGTGTCCAAAAAATATAACTCCTCCAGACACGCATTAAGCTTGACATTTGGACACTAGAATTCATAAACTTCGTTGAGCTCCAAATATAATCACAGATGAATCTCTAGTTCTAGGTCTGTCTCCATCTGCTGGTTTGTCTGTCATGGAGATACTGCCTTCCCAAGTATCTAAAATGTTTCCATTATTAAGTCACCCATACCATTGTCTCAGCAGCTGGGAACCTGATATATTTCCATTGTGCCTAATTAAGGGTCTGACCAGCTAAAAGGCTACCATCACAATTCAGTCTTCAGCCGCCCAACAGAACACAAGTTTCAAAATGTATACACTGTAAGGAAATGAATTAGGGGGATCTCTACCTCATCTCTGTCAATGCAAGAAAGCTGCGTCAAAAAACCAACTTCAGAGAATATGGTGCCACACAGAACTATAATTCTCCAAGCCAAATCCTTTCCCCGTCGCATAAACACATGCAAGAAGAACCTTTCAAATGCAAAGATCATATTTTGACTGCTCCACATGATTGACCTCCATTCCTCTCCTATTTTTCAACTCAAACTAGTTAATACTATACAAGCTTTTTGGAAGGAAATACACAAAAATATTTAAAATAAAGATACCGCTGAGACCAGAGTATTTTTATTGAGAATAAATGAACAAAAATTAGATAGTAATACAGATAAACTCCTCTTCTTAGCAACAACGGCCACAAGAATGTGCTACACGAGAGTGTGGAGGAAAACGGACATTCTTAAACTGGAAGATTGGAACAAAAAAATTATGGCTATAAGGAACATGGATAGACTAACTTATCTGATATCCAAAGGGAAGACAAGGAAAAAAAACAGACTGGACACTTATAACCGAATATTTCAAATAAAAATAACAACAACTAAAGAAAGAAACAAAGTAACCACTGCCAATGAGATGTTATATTGATGTTTAAATGTTTATTATGTTATTGTTTTAATTGTTTTTTATCTGTTTTTATGATGTTGAGCATTGAATTTTGCTATTGTTAACCGCTTTGAGTCACCCTAGAACTGAGAAAAGCGGTATATAAATGAAGTAAATAAATAAACAAACGAAGAAGAGGGGGAGAAAGGAAGAAGAGAAGAGAAAGACGAGGTGGATAGTGAGGAAAGAAGGAAAAGAGAACAAACCCTCCAAGAAGAAGCTTGGAAGTGAAACATTTACTGATTCCCTTCTATGGTTTCCTTTTCTATTCTCTTCCTTTTCTATTCTTTTTTTTTCTTTTATCTTTCTCTCTTTCTTCTTCTTCTTCCTCTCTTTTCTTTTTTGTACTAAAATTTTAATTTTGTAATCTGTAAATATTTAATAAAGATTATTATATTAAAAATACTATACATTGTTTTTATTCTGTGCCTTCAAACTGTTTTTGACTGACTTTGACCCTAAGGCAACTTATCATAGGGTATTCCTGGCATATTTTGTTCAGAAAGGGTTTGCCATTGTCCTTCTCTAAGACTAAAGGAATATGACTTGTCCAGTGAGTTTCCACGGCTGAGTGGGGATTTGAACTCTGGTTCCAGATCCTTAGCCCAATGCTAGGAGCCCCCAGTGGCGCAATGGGTTAAACTCTTGTGCCAACAGGATTGCTGACTGACAGGTTAGAGGTTCAAATCTGGGGAGAGCAGGTTGAGTTCCCTCTGTCAGCTCCAGCTCCCTATGTGGGGACATGAGAGAAGCCTCCCACAAGGATGGTAAAACATCAAAACATCCGGGCGTCCCTTGGGCAACGTCCTTGCAGACAGCTGAAGCTACTTGCAGTTTCTCAAGTCACTCCTGACACGAAAAAAAGCCCAATGTTCAAACCACTGCATCATGCTGGCTCTCAGCATCATCAGTATGCTCATATACATGTTTAATATTATTTATTATGGAGCCCCTGGTGGCGCAGTGGGTTAAACCCTTGTGCCAGCAGGACTGAAGACCTACAGGACGCAGGTTCAAATCCAGGGAGAGCATGGCTGAGCTCCCTCTGTCAGCTCCAGCTCATGCAGGGACATGAGAGAAGCCTCCCACAAGGATGATAAAACATCAAAAATCATCTGGGAGTCCCCTGGGCAACGTCTTTGCAGACGACCAATTCTCTCACACCAGAAGCAACTTGCAGTTTCTCAAGTTGCTCCTGACACGACAAAAATATTATTATTATTATTATTATTAATTATTATTATTATTATTATTTATGCTATTTCTATCCTGCCCATATCAACCTGAAGGCAACTTAAATATTTAAATATATGCTTAAATACTACCCACCACAGCCCAATGAAAAAACAATAATCCAAATTATGCCAGATATAAGCTCAGAAATACTTCAGTGACACAGATTTCAAAGTTGGTCAAAGTATTGCTACATCATGCCTCAATTCCAAAGAGGAACTACTATTCTTCCAAACCAAGCCTGTGCCTTTTCCCTTCCCTTCCCATATGACAGCAAGGTCTCCCCTCTTTCTCCTTCCATTATCTATTTATTAGCTTTATATCTTCCCCAACATCTACCTATGCTTTCCTAATATATCAGAATATCACTCAGAGCCAGAAACAGGATATAAAGGAAATAAGCTGGGGAAAATGGAAGGAAAAAGGAAGAGGGGCTGACCAAGGGCAAGATGGATGGATGGTATCCTTGAAGTGACTGGACTGACCTTGAAGGAGCTGGGGGTGGTGACGGCCGACAGGCGTGGACTGGTCCATAAAGTCACGAAGAATCGGAAACAACTGAACGAATGAACTACAACAACCAAAAACAGGTTTGCAAATAATCATTATAGCAAGGAAAGTATTAACTGTGGTTGGGGATGTTGTAATGTTACACAACTGATGTGAGTGCTAAACCATGATTCATGTCAACAAGGAAAATGAGAAAGTGGGAAGTGAGAGAATAAGAGGGCATATATTTGAGAATTACCCGGGAATTACAGTCTCTGGTTTGCGAAGAGCTAATGAAAAATTCACAGAAAAGCGTTTAATCCTGAGTGCTCACTTCTGCTGATCCAAAAGACGAAGTAAGTTGGACAGCACCACTGGGACAGCAACTGAATTAGAGAAATGTAAGACCAGCTGCTGCTGCTATCTTGCAGTAACTTTCCTTCTATCTCCAGTTTAGTGTTACATCGGCCTTGCAAACTAATTAATAGCCTATCTTACTTGCATCATTGAAGCTATATCACTAACCAAGCAAATAGTCAAAGGCAACTCCACAGAAGCCCGTTTATTGTGGACCTCTTGGTTTGCAAAACAAAGATATGTAGGTTCCTTAAGACTAGCAGATTAGAGCTGTTTTGGTAGGCTAAAATCTGCTTTCTCTAATTCTTGAGATGGCAGTTGGCATAAGTCACAGTGAAGAACGCAATTATAAAAACAGATGATTGACTGCAGTGTCCTCTGCTGGCTACTTGGGAGGAATTTAGAGAGGAAAACAAATCTGAATCTATGGAAGCCAACCACTGTAGTGTCTGTATCTATAAATATTTTGTAGAAGAGAGGATTTCATATAACCAGGTAATAAACAATACCTGCTGAAATGCCTGATGCACAAATTTTACAGGTTTTTACAAGTGAGTTGGAAGTGACTCAGTGTTTGGAGGCAGGGTTTCAGCATGGCAGCCATTGCGCTATATAAAGGGCAGCACATGGCTCAGAGGCTCATTGTGAGCCCGGGAAGGGAAGGGGAAAGGGAAAGGAAAGGGAAGTTGTGAAGGGAGGTTGGAAGAAGAGCAGTTGGAAGAGCAGGGCAAGTGGAGAAGGGCTGGGAGCAGGGCTGTTGCCTGCCTGCCTTGCAGCCACTTGTGTATTGTTGCTGTTGGGCGGGAAGAAGAGCAGGGCAGCAGGCTCCCCTCAACGTTCTTGTCCTAGGAGTATACCCCCCCCCCCATACAAAGGTCAGTCTATCACCCTATCTCTCCACGGGTTCTCCACGGGTTTTTTTTTTGTATATTGTTTATTGTATTCTTATGTTTTGTACTTTATTGTGATGTTGTTATTTTGTTGTAACATGTATTTTATTTTATTGTAATTTGTTGTTTGGGCTTGGCCTCATGTAAGCCGTCCTGAGTCCCCGTTGGGGGAGATGATGGCGGGGTATAAATAAAGTTGTTTATTATTATTATTATTATTATTATTATTATTATTATTATTATTATTAATTAAGGGCTGTTGCCTGCCACACTGGCTGCCTTGCAGCCGCTTGTGTATTTTTGCTGTTGGGGTTTGGGACGGGTGGACGACACGTGGGTGGGTAATACTGGGGTGTGAGGGTGCAGTTTGTTTCCTCAGTTTGCCTTGCATTGCCCTATAGTCAAAATATTATCCTTCCTAAAGTTGTGAAATCAACTTCAAAAAGCCAAAAAGGCCTCTCTCTGCTCTTTGTGTCCTTAGTTGCTTTGTATTGCTACTGAGGAGACACTAAAAACCCCATACTTGTCAGGATTGGTCTAAAAATGAGGGAGAGAGAATCCCCTGAAGTTTTCCCAGTACCATTTGCTGTTTTCGTGTATTGCACAATCGCGTCCACCATTAACAAAGCAATTTGAAAATTTTGGAAAGTTCCGAATTTTTTTAAAAAAAAAATCGGAATTCAATTCCGAATCAAACCACCAGTGCCCCCTACATCTAAAACGAGTTTTGAACCTTTTTTTTTTTTTTTGGATCAAACAAGCCTAGCTTATTCAAAACTCACCTGTCTGGTTGCAGAAAGAAACCTTTCCATTCCCTTTCCCTTTCTATTTCCCCTTCCCTTCCTGGGCTCACAATGAGCCTCTGAGCCGGAGTACAACTCTAAAGATCAGGATTAAAATCCCTGCTCAGACATGAAAACCCACTGGGTGACTTTGGGCAAGTCACACTCTCTCAGCCTTAGGAAATGCCATGATTAAGGTTGCACCCAAGAGCAACAAATTAATAGAAGACCATTTATAAGGCTACATGACACAACCAAACATCTGTGTACATTTTATGAACAATATTATTTTGAACAAGATGTAATTCACTTGTGTAACTATTTGGACTACAAGTGGTGGTTCCAGCTTATGACTCAAGACTTGGATAATACATTCAACACTGTTTTTATACAATTATTTTTTCATAACTATACTTAAAGTAACAAACAATATTCTGATCATAATTATGCAGAATTATTTCACTGTTCTGTAAGAATTAACTGATTTGTTTTCTGTAATTAGCGCAAGGTCTTCCTCTTATGATATTTCTAGCAAATTAATTATTTAAATCGGGGATAGCTGAGTTCTGTCCATGAGGCCAGATGTGACCCGCAAACCATTTTATTCGGCCACTGGCCAATTTTAACCTCTTGTAAGCAAAACTGAGAAAAAGTGAAACAAAATTAAAATCACATATTTCTTTGGATTTCTTTTCAAAAAGAAACATCTTGGCTATCTCCAAATCCTGAATGCATGAGTTCTGCAACATAAATCCAAGAATATACTTTTATTTATGTGCACTGAAGTGAACTCACAGTGATAACTGGAGAAAGGGTACAACAATGAAAAAGATAAAACATGGAGAACAGTCACACTTACGGGCTGTTGCCAGCAGCTCAGGGACAATATCACATGGAAAGAGGGGTTTCTCCAATCCCCGAAAATACAACTTCAACACTCCCGCTACTGAATCTAGGTCATGCTGTGTATAGCTGTCTGCTAGGGGGTCTTCACCTGGTTGAGAGGGGAAAAAAATAATTACAGCAATACTTTCCAACTCTTATTTATTTATTTGCAGTATTTATACTTTGCCCTTCTCACCCCGAAGAGCAGCTTACAGAACATTCATACGGCAAACATTCAATGCCGATTATACAATTAACAAGGACAAACAACACAAACAGAGGTAAAAGCAATTTTTCCCATCTTATTTACATCTTGGTGGCTATGCTCGACTCCAGCCACAGGGGTTGCTGTTGCTCCATCTTCCATGCTGAGGAGCTTTCCTTCTATCAATGTCCTTAAAGGCACCTTTATTGCCTCCCCGCTAAAAGTGGTACCTATTTATCTACTCGCATTTTTGCTTTTGACCTGCTAGGTGGGCAGGTATGTTGGGACTAATGGTGGGTGCTTACCCTGACCCGAGCTCAAACTGCTAACTTTTTGATCAGAAGGGTTTTTCTGTAGCACAGCAGTTTAGCCTGCTGTGCTAAGTCTGCCTAAAGATCAGGTGGGCCTTTGTGGATCTGGATTATTTGGCAAAGTTCAAAGAACCTACCTAACCTGTGAACCAATGTGGCATAGAAACATAAACACGAAGCAAAATGTAGTTCAAATCCTTTCTCTGGAATAGAATTTTTCTGGATAATTCTACCCAGATCACTAACTCCAAACCTAACCTACCTAGGGGACTCTCATGAGAATAAAGGAGATGGCAATTGTGAACTAGTTACTTTATTGAGTCAGTTATATACAAAGAAGGAGAGGGAGAGGGAGAGGGGGAGGGGGAGGGGGAGGGGGAGGGGAGGGGAGGGGGAGGGGGAGGGGGAGGGAGAGGGAGAGGGAGGGGAGAGGTTGAAGGAGAGGGAGAGGGAGAGGGAGAGGGAGAGGTTGAGGGAGAGGTTGAGGGAGAAGGAGAGGAGAGGGAGAGGGGAGGGAGAGGTAGAGAGGGAGAGGGAGAGGGAGAGGGAGAGGTGAGGGAGAGGTTGAGGGAGAAGGAGAAGGAGAGGGTGAGGGAGAGAGATGAGGGTTGAGGTTGAGGTTGAGGGAGAGGGAGAGGTTGAAGGAGAGGGAGAGGAGTGGTTCCCAAACTTTGGTCCTCCAAATGTTTAAACTTCTACTCCCAGAATCCTTGAGTGTTGCCTAAGTCAACTAGGGCTCTGGGAAACTGCAATGCAAAATACTTCAGGGGACCAAATTTTGGGAATCACTTCCTTAAAAGGTATAAACACACACATGGGACAAAAGTGAATAATGGTGGGGATCCGTCTTGTATAAAGAGACATGCTGTTTAATCTAAAAGAAAGTCACCACTATCACCACTGCTGCAACAATCCAAAGTGATAGCGGGGAGATCTATGTTTAGGGAGTGCAGAAAGATACTCCACACATATCCATCAATTGCTCAAGTTTGGCCATGGAGATATTCTGACGTCCTCTGAGATCTGACAGTCACATTTCCCCCTTTTCTGTTTTATGCCATTTATCCTTGAAAGATCCTTCCCAATCCTTGCAAGCAAGCTTAAATCCTTGCAAGCAAGCTTAAATTCATACCTGGTGTGCATTCTATGTTTCTCCTGAGAATGACCCCCCTATTTTGTACATAAGAAGGAATAATATTCTCCTTTTCTTCTAATTACTTCAATTTCTAGCATACTGCAGTATTACTGAGCCTATTCCCCCGACTCTTTCTCTCTGCCCTTTTCCACATACACACTCTCTTTTACCTTTTTCAAAAGCATTCCGGATCTCTGCTACCTGGGCTTGAGACCCTGGCACTCGAAAAATACCTTCATGCTGAAGCCCTGGAAAGAAGGAAGGAAATAGGCAACTCTGTGTCAGGCTTTCCCACAAGGAAAGGGGATTTCCCACTTACTAACTCATGGATACATCAGGACCCAGAGATCCCTCTGAAAATGGCAACCCATGAAAAGAATACACATATATACATAAAAAGAAGGGCATTTGAGAAGAGCGTGGCTGGGGGTTAACTCATATCTTACCGTGAAGATTGATGAAGCGGATGCAACTCTCCACCACAAGTGGGACAGCTTGGCCCGAGCTCTGGAGTTATGGGAAGGAAAAGCAGAAGGTCAAAGTGCAGCATCCTCATAGCATCCCAGGACTGTGTGGATGTTGCCATTGCCCAGGGACATCCAAAAAACATAGAATACAGGTGTGTGTTCACACAGTGTTATTACAGCGGTTTGACACCAATTGTAGCACCTTGGCTCCCTCTGATGGAATACTGGGATTTGTAGTTTGGTGACTGACATAGAACTCCCCAGCACTTCCCTGAAATGCAACATTGAGCTTTCTGACAAAAAAGCCTAAACCTCTCTCCAAACGATAGTTCCAAAAGATTCCAGATGAAGTGTGTGTTTTACGTCCTGGTGTGGTTTGGCCGGGGATGGACCATGGATTATGGGACTTGCAGTACCTTTGCTCAATTCTTGAGACCACTGCAACCCTCATCCAATTACCGATAAAGACCAAACTTGGCACACTGAGTCTCCATGATGCACTCTACATCCTGGTGCGGTTTGGAGGAGGATGCACCATGGACGATGGGACTTGCAATACCTGCACTCCCTTCCTAAGACCATTACAACTGCCAACAATGATGGATCAGGACCACAATTTACACTGAGAGCCCGCATGACCCACTCTACATCCTGGTGCGGTTTGGAAGAATTTGGCAATGGATGATGGGACTTGCAGTCACTTCACTCACTTCCTGAGACCACTGAGACCCTCGCCAATGACTGATCAAGACCAAACTTGGCACACAGAGTCCCCATGACCCACTCTACATCCTGGTGCACTTTCGAGGAGGACAGACCATGGATGATGGGACTTCAAGTACCTCCACTCCCTTCCCAAGACTGCTGCAACCCTCATCTAATGTCCGATCAAAACCAAACATGGCACACCACTCGCAGTACCTTCACTAACTTCCTGAGACCACTGCGAGCCATATAAATAACTGATAAAGACCAGTCTTGATACACAATTCCTTTCTCTAATAACCCTTGCAGCGCCGGGTCCCCAAGCTAGTAAATAAATAAATACTACTGCTTTTTTATCGTGTCAGAAATGATTTGAAAAACTGCAAGTCACTTCTGGTGTGAGATAATTGGCTGTCTGCAGAGACATTGCCCAGGGGGTGCCTCTGGGAGGCTTCTCTCATGTCCCCGCATGGGAAGCTGGAGCTGACAGACAGGAGCGTCTCACAGATTTAAACCACTAACCTTCAGGTCAGCAGTTCAGCCAGTACAAGGTTTTAACCCATTGTGCCACCATTGCTTCAGCTACTGCTACTTTTGATATACATCAGGATGGAAACTAACCAAAACCTGGAGGATGAACACATCCTTTCACTAAATTTTGATGGGCTGTACAACCCATTATGAAATATTTTGAAATATTATTTCTCTTGGGAATAGTAAGGCTAAGGGTTAGTGTAGTGTTTTGCAGTGTTTCTGCTCCTGGAAGGTGTTTTAGACCAGAACAGGTTGATAAGATAAACCATAGTGTTCTCTCACAATTATTACGATGCCCCCTCTTCTGTACTCATAAAACAATAAAGCGAAGGGGTTGAGTGGAAAGAAAAATAAGCAGGCATCATGCTCTTGCCAACATGCAATCATATGCTGGATCTTCCACACACATGCCAATCTCCTCCAATTATATGTATAACAAAGAATTGTTTTTAAATACCTTTATGATTTTACACCTATTCTATATACCTTTATACCCATGATTGTGTAAAACTTTCTCGAGCAAAAAGGGGTCGTGAGTGGAAAACGTTTAAGCAAAACCACTTCTGAGTATTCCTTGCCTAAGAAAGTCATAGGGTCACCATAAGTCTTGAAAGCATATACAAACGAAATAAATTATGTTACATTTAAATAGTACAAGGAAGTCGTCAAAGACTTTCATGGCCGGAATCACTGGGTTGCTGTGAGTTTTCCAGGCTGCATGGCCATGTTCCAGAAGCATTCTCTCCTGACGTTTTGCCCATATCTATGGCAGGCATCCTCAAAGATTCAGGGGTCTGTTGGAACCTAGGCATGTGGGGTTTATATATTTGTGGAATAATGTCCAGGGTAGGAGAAAGAAGTCTTGTTTGCGTGAAGCAAGTGTGAATGTTACAATTGGCCACCTTGATTAGCATTTAATGGTCTTGTTGCTTCAAAGCTTGCATGCTTCCTGCTTTTGTTTATTATTTTATTTATTTACTCTACTTGTATACCGCCATTCTCATCCTTTCGCCGACACTTTTGTTGGGAAGTGTTAGCTGGTTCTGATTGATTCTTGTCTGGAATTCCCCTGTTTTTTAGTATTGCTCTTTATTTACGGATTTTAGAGGGGTTTTTTTTAATACTGGTAGCCAGAATCTGGACCTTTCACAGATATATAAACCTTGCTTGCCTAGTTTCTAACAGACCTCAGAACCTCTGAGGATGCCTGCCATAGATGAGAATGCTTCTGGAACATGGACATACAACCCGGAAAACTACAAGAAAGTAGGATTTCACAAACATTTCTGCATGCCTATCCTCCAGACCTTCTTTCATTGTAATTCCCATGCATCCTAGCCAGCATAGCCAATCGGGGCTAGGCGCAAAGGCACCCTGGAAGGCTAGGGGAGAAGAAACAAAACACTTAAATAATATTTGAAACATCATTACAAAAGATCACGTGGTTAGGTTATACATGCGGCATGCATTTTGTACATCGTTGTGAGAAAATGCCAAGACCTTTCTGTTGCAAGCAAGCAAGGGATGTGAAGCCAGTTGATCACATATAGGGAGTGGTATGATACATTTGTACATGCATACACACACGCACACACCCCAAATATATTTATGCACTGACTAGTTCCCAACTACGGTCAGCCCTTCACATTTGAAGATTTGATTTTTGTGGATTTGGTTATTCACCAATAGAGATTACTAGAGAGATGACCACAGTCCTCCAGGGCAATCTGATAGAAACTGACCATACAGTCAAGCTGGAGACAAGAAATATTCCTAGAGAGGTGTTCTTTCAGGTAAAAAAACAGTAATTATGTGCAATTTTTCACTCTTTGTGTGGTAAAAGGTAAAGGTTTCCCCTTGACATTAAGTCTAGTTGTGTCCAACACTGGAGGGTGGTGCTCATCTCCATTTCTAACCCGAAGAGCTGGCGTTGTCCCTAGACGCCTCCAAGGTCATGTGGCTGGCATGACTGCATGGAGCACCATTACCTTCCCGCCGAAGCAGTACCTATTGATCTACTCTCATTTGCATGTTTTCGAACTGAGAGGTTGGCAGAAGCTGGGGCTAACAGTTTTGTAAGTTTTGTAAGATCTTTTCTCAAACATAACCACAAGCTTTGTATGCCAGAACTTTACTGAAACCAATAAGCATTTGTACTTGAATTATTCAAGCCTGTTCAATAAAAGTTCTTACTATTTTTACCAACTTATACCAGCCTCAGTGTGAATACCTTTGTAGTAAAGGTGTTATTCAAGTCAGTTTTAATAACCTCTAAGAAAACTTTAGTGATGCAGAGTGTGTTACTGAACAACCTCTCAATAGTACCTCAGCCTGTTCTTTAGTAATATGGTGGCAGCGGAAACCTTTTAAAGGATCATTTTAAGTCTCTCAGTTCCAGTGGTTCCCAGTTCCTAACTTCTAAATATACAGTTGGTTTATCAACAACTATAATCCCTCTATATTTTGGTGAGTTAGTCTGTAGTGGTGGTGTCATCATTATAATTTGGTAGGCATTATAATTTGATGTGGTCGTTATAATTTAGTGAAGCAGCGTTGGGATTTTTATTATCGAATAAAGTTCCATACTTTTCCCCACGGTTCGTTATACCATCCTTTCGGTCAGCAAGTTCAGCAGCTTAGTGGTTTAACCCACTGTACCACCAGGGGCTCCTGTTGCGGGGTACTTTGCCTTTAACCCCAGTGAATGTGGAGGGCTGACTGCACAACACAAAAGCTATTCATATTTACTCAAGTACAATGCACCACTGAATGTAATGCACACCTCAATTAAAAAGGTGCACGTTACCCTTGAACTAAATGTGTCCAACAGCGATTTAATGAAAAGGACGTATCAAAAGAAGTGCTATGGGACACAATGAAAGCGGTGGTGAGAGGGATATGTATAAAAGAGACAATTAAACTCAAAAAAGGCAAGAAGAAAGGAAAAGGAATTTTGAAAAAGAAATAGAGGAGCTTGAAAAAGAATATGTAATAAAGAGAGATATACAAATTTATGTAAGGTTGAGACCTAAAAAAGAGGAATTGGATAAAATGGAAATAGATGAAGTACAAAAAAATTTAATATATTTAAGGAGGGATTTTTTTGAATTTAGTAATAGGAATTCAAAGATTTCCTATTAGCCAAATCCACACAAAAAAGAAAATGGAAGGTATAATAAGTATGATAAAAGATAAAAATTTGTAGATCTATGAAAGAAAAATTGAAGGTTTTCGAAGCGTTTTGGGAAGAGGTCAAACGGCGCTGGGGAAGGGGAAAAGGATACCAAACTATACCAAACAAAAGCTAGCTCCATAGAAGCAATTAGGAAATATGTGGAGGAAAATTGGGAGAGTAAGTTGGAGGAGAAAGACAAGGAATTATTGGAACAACCTATTAAGAAGACAAAAATAGAGGAAGTTATTAAGAATTTAAAAGCTGGGAAAGCTCCAGGTCTGGACGGCCTGGGAACAGAATACTATAAAAGTTTTAGAGAAGTATTGATTCCAAAACTATTAGAACTGTATAATGGAATAATGAAAGGAGATGAGATGCCAGAATCATGGAGGAAGTCATTAATAATATTAACACCAAAACCTGATAAAGATTTAACAGACCCAGGGTCATATAGGCCCATATCATTAGTTAATCGGGATGCAAAGATTTTATCTGCTATAACAGCCAATAGAATGAATAAATGCATGTACAAGTGTGAGTATTCTAAGGTGCCATCTAATCTAATGCACCTATGTAATTTAGCCAAAAAAGCTGGGCATTAGAATTGAGTAAATATGGAAAGTATCCTCTCTGCGCCTGCTTACGGCAGCTCTAATCTGTTCCCCTTTTCCTACTTCTATGCTCCCAACCCTCCCTCCTCCATTCCCGAATCATGTACCTTCTTGCGTGCCAGCAGCCTCCGCCTCCTTGGGGCAGCACAGACAGGAAAGACAGAGTCAGCAAGCACATTATAAGCAGAGGGAGCAGCGGGTGTGCATGTTTGGGAGAGCCAGAGGCAAAAGCAGGGCCAGGGAGGCAAAGAGTTCTCCAACTAGGCAGAGGGCAAGAAAGCAGGGCGAAAAGGAGCTGGACAGGAAGGGGCGAAGCTCAGGGCAGCAGCCAGTACCTCCAAAAAGGCCTGCAGGTCACCCCCGAAGAGCTTGTGTTGGTAGCAGGAGGGAGGGCGGGAACGCCGGACGCGCTGGGACTGTGGTCTGGAACCAACGTTTGTGTGGTGTGGGGAAGGAGGGAGGGAGGAAGGAAGAGGTCAGAGACTCTCCCCAGAACTGGACCTGGGCTCCTTCCCATCTTTCTGCTGGGCTCCTCAACCACCAGAATGGGGCAGAGGAGGCCTTCAGGGCCCAGTTGGGCCCAGGAAAAGGACAATGTGCAGAGCTCCCATCATCCCTGGCCCTGCAACATCTTTCCCTCAGTGTCCATTTTACCTGGCTAGCTCTCGATCCACTGCAGCACCTGGAAAAACAAGAAAATAGAACAGGATGTAAGTTAGTGTCTAGAAGGCCGAGCCTTTATATGATGAATATCTGAAGCACAGAGGCAGATGCACAAACGCATCTCTGCCTATGAACCCTCCAGGAACTTGAGATCATCCAAGGAGGCCCTGCTCTCGATCCCACCTGCTTCGCAAGCACGTCTGGCGGGGACGAGAGACAGGGCCTTCTCTGTGGTGGCCCCTGGGCTGTGGAACACCCTGCCTAGGGATATCAGATTAGCCCCCTCTCTCCTGACCTTTCAGAACATAGTTTTTTTGTTTCATTTAAAATGTTATTATTATGCACTGTCTTTATGTTTATATGCACTACAATGTTTCTTTTTGCTTATCAATGTAAGTGTTTTTATGGCATCAAATTGTGCCAACTGTGTATACCGCCCTGAGTCGCCTTCGGGATGATATGGGAGGGATAGAAATAATGTAAATAAATAAATGTACATAGTTTCATCATGGAAGCATATATAATGACATTTACAGCTTTCCCATGCAGATAAGATCATAAGGAACCTGCTTTTTCACAAGCTGGATTTGCATAAATGGACACAAAAGACCAACAACTGAATTATGAAGCTTTCTCTCCTTATTTGTAAACATGATGTTTTCCAGGGGTCCTCAAACTATGGCCCGGGGGCCAGATACAGCCCTCCAATGTCATTTACCTGGCCCTCGCTCAGGGTCAACCTAAGTCTAAAATGATTTGAAAGCACACAACAAAAACAACAGCAACAACCCTGTCTCATCATCCAAAAGCACACTTTGAAATACTAATAAGTTTATATTGAAATACTAATAAGTTTATATTTGTTAAAATTATTCTTCATTTTAGTTATTGTATTGTTTTAAAGTGTTTTTTGCACTACAAATAAGATATGTGCAATTTGCATAGGAATTAATTCTTTTTTTTTTCAAATTATAATCCGTCCCTCCAACATATGAGACACTGTGACCTGGCCCTTTGTTTAAAAAGTTTGAAGAGCCCTGATGTAGACTGACATAGTTTCATTTTAATTGTAAATCTATTTTTTTCCTCTTCAAAACAGTGTTATTAAAGGGTAGACATTTTTAAAGTGCTTAGTTTCCCTTACCCAGAATTCTAAAATCCAAAATCCCCCCAAATCCAAAAATGTCCACATATGTGGATTAGATAGTGACAGCTTTGCTTTTTGATATTTCACCGTACACAAATGTTGTTAACTGCACTGACATAAGCTTCATTGGGGCAACATTTAGTTTAGGGAGATCCAAGAGCTCTATGGCTGAGGAGTCAAAATGTTGTTTTATTTACGGTATTTCTACCCCGCCATTCTCAACCCAAAGGAACTCAAGGCGGCTTACAAATTGGCAGCAATTTGATGCCACAACAGTCATAAAATATAATTTAAAAGCATTTAGCACATAATTATAAAAATCCATACCAAAAAAACCATTTAAAACATACAACCACCAGTGTGTCTTCCTGTTAAACTCATTTTTCCAGTAGCATCGTCTAGCCGGTCCAAGTTCACTTTTTCATAGTTCCATAGTTCCATCTATTATGCTGCTTTTCCAAAAGCTTGTTTGAAGAGCCAGGTTTTTACTTTTTTTCGGGAAGTCAGGAGGGAGGGGGCTGATCTAATATCCCTAAAGAGGGAGTTCCACAGCCAAGGGGCCACCACTGAGAAGGCCCTGTCTCTCATCGCCCACCAGAGGTGCCTGTGAAGAAGGCGGGATCAATTGCAAGGCCTCCCCAGATGATCTTAAGTTACTAGATGGTTCATAAGGAGAGATACGTTCGGACAGGTAAGCTGGGCCTGAACCGTTTAGGGTTCACCGTTGTTAGGTGCCCTCAAGTCATTTCTTACTTACTAGGATCCTAAGGCAAATCCATTTCAAGGTTTTCTTGAGCTGATAGTGTTTGACTCGCTCAATGTTACCAGTGGGTTTCCATAGCTGAGTGAGAAACCGAACCCTGTCAATACTCAAACCTCTATGTCCCTAAACCATAAATCCTAGGATTCCGTAAAATATTGCCATGGGAGTTACAGTGAAATAACTGCACTAGAGTAGTGTAATGGATACACCATTCTGATGCTTATCTACACAATAAGATGTGTATTCAACCTCAAACAAGCATAACTGCCATTAATTCTCCCAAAGAAATCCCTCAAATCAGTTTTGCATTGAAGATAAGGGCTGAAGATATTCTCAGGAGTCCCTCACTTATTTATGATTCCTGGGATTCTTTGTGAGAAAACAGGGCAATTAAACTGGTTTAGCTATGTACGTATTATTTTGTGTTTCTCCAAACATCCAGGATAGCACAAGTGCTCCTTCATATTCTCACCCTTCTCTATCGCCTCCTTCATCTGGTCATGTTTTGCTTGCAGCTTTGTTTGAATGCTTCGCCCAGAGAGATATTCTTTAAATTTCTGTATAGGAGACACCAGGCAATCTGTTACCAGAGATACTCTAAGGAAATACCCAGGGTGAGATTGAGGTTTAAAACAGGGTGAGGGTGGGGGGCAGGGCACAGGTCAATTGGTGTTTTTTTTTTGTAGCTCTTGGACTCACAACACATACCCCCCCCCCCCACAAAAACAAACTTCGCTAAAGAGTCAAATATGCATAATTGCCTTTTCCAACCCCCATCTGCCCCCAAACATTAAACATCTGGAATTCAAAATCAAGAGTAACTTCCAATCACTTTCACAACAAATTTTCAGCTGATGTGGTAATATGCACTATGGCCTGTCATGGGTCTATGACAACTAGCAGTGAAATGACAACAAAGAAGTAAGTCTTCCAGGGCAATATTTGCCAGAAGACATGTTCTGTAAGCATAATTAAAAGGGATCTATTTAAATTAATGAAAGAAGCAGGACTATTTTATTTTTAATATTGCTTTTTAGTTTTGTTAGCCACTTGAAGTCTCTTTTTACAAAGAAAGTGGGAGATGATGATGGAGGGGAAGAGGGAAAGAAGAAAGGTGAAAGAGCAGAGAAAGAATATCTTGGCAAATGTTGGTCCACCTTTACTAAAGGAAGGTGCTACAGTATGACCCCTGTATCCTCAGGACCAATATCTACAGTTCTACCATCTGCATCCAAATTAAGAATGTTTAAAGCATTTCAAGCAATTCTGTAATATGCTTCCATCAAAATGTGCAAGTTGCCCTGAAAGATCGAGCAAAGTCCTAGCTCCTCTAGGCAACTTTGGAATATTGTGTCCAATTCTGGGCACCACAATTGAAGAGAGATGTTGACAAGCTGGAATGTGTCCAGAGGAGGGCAACTAAAATGATCAAGGGTCTGGAGAACAAGCCCTATGAGGAGCGGCTTAAAGAGCTGGGCATGTTTAGCCTGAAGAAGAGAACACTGAGAGGAGACATGAGAGCCATGTATAAATATGTGAGAGGAAGCCACAGGGAGGAGGGAGCAAGCTTGTTTTCTGCTGCACTGGAGACTAGGACGCAATGGTACAATGGCTTCAAACTACAAGAAAGGAGATTCCATCTGAACGTGAGGAAGAACTTCCTGACTGTGAGAGCCGTTCAGCAGTGGAACTCTCTGCCTCGGAGTGTGGTGGAGGCTCCCTCTTTGGAAGCTTTTAAACAGAGGCTGGATGGCCATCTGTCAGGGGTGCTTTGAATGCAATATTCCTGCTTCTTGGCAGGGGGTTGGACTGGATGGCCCATGAGGTCTCTTCCAACTCTGTGATTCTATGATTCTAACTGTTGGCAATAGTCACTCATTTTAATAGGGTTTGCTATTACCCCTATTTTTCTGTTTCCGTGATAAGTCCAGGAACATATCTCCCATGAATACAAAGGCATACTGTACTTGGATTTTCCACTTCAAATTCCACATGCCCACTTCCTCCTCCTTTTGTGTCACATAATGTTTTGGGGTGGAAACAAGAGGGTGTGCCACTAGGATCTTGTGCCTCAAATTAAAAACATTCTTCAGCAAATTCAGTAACAGACTGGGTGAAGTCATGCAGAAAATGTAGTGACTGCTTTTCTGATGCCGCGACCAAAGATTACCAATGTTGTCTGTCAGTCTTTCCTCTTCCACACAACACAAAATTATTCAAAATTGTTCCTTGAGAGAATTGGGGATTGTCACAAGTGAGGGGCACAGTTGGGATGTCATGAGTGCTTTGCACTTTTTCTGTCTGAAAAACCCAGCACAACATACCATTATGTAGAAGCTCTCTGTCTCCTGCTGGTTGGCCCGCCGCTTCGCCAGCGCTTGCTTCCCACCAGCATCAGAGCCAGTTGACTTGAGTGATTCTGTGGACTGGCAGCCCTGAAAAGCATCAAGTGCTTCTGGCTCCTCTGTTGACAATAGGTCCAGCAGGCTTTGCAGAGTTGCCTTCAGAGTCTTGTTTACCTATGGAAGGAAACACAATATGCTGCTTCAAGGACCACCTAAAGGGGAAAGTACACATCTGATACCCAGTTCCTCATGGGCAACCCAAATAGTTGTGGGTTTGCTGCCCCAAAAGAGATACTGTCAATGGAATTTGCAGGGCCAGATCCGTGGAGGGGAGGTGAATGTTGAGATCTATCTCTGTAACCAATCCACCAGTTATTATGAAAATTAACACCACAGACAAATAGATGCACACAACATCCCACCAAGCACATCCTAAACAAGGCTCAAATAATAGCTGTGGATATTGGCTGTTTCAAAAGCTGAGATGTTTCAAGAGCCGACTTATACATCACTTGACCTGATGTATAAGGACAGGTTTTGAGGAAAAAATTAAGTAGCCACATAATTTTATGCTAGTGTTCCTCTAGTGTTCTTGTCCCAGGAGTCCCCCGCACACACGAAGGTTGGCTTAATTTCCTATCTCTCTATGAGTTCGCCCTTACAATCAGTTCTCCCCCGTTATCTCACCCGGAGTTTTTAAATCATTTTAAATACATGCGGCCCGCCCTTTATTTGTCTGCCATTATGCCTAGTTCCTATGTTTTGTGCATATTTTTATATGCTTTGATGTGTTATATTTTACTGTTATGTTGTTTATTTGATTGTAATTTGTATTGTTATATTGTAATTTTTGTTCAGGCTTGGCCCCATGTAAGCCGCTCCGAGTCCCCTTTGGGGAGATGGCAGCAGGGTGCAAATAAAGTTTATATTATTATTATTATTATTATTATTATTATTATTATTATTATTTATTATTTCAATGAGCCCTGTGGATACATCAAGGGTTATTCTGTGGAGAAAAGAAAGCAGCAACAACACCTGCCCCTTGGCCGCTATCAAGTTCCCAGGCATTCATAATAGCGAAAGGTGGCATCATAGTGGAGCCAGTAGAGAAGCTCAGTTTTTTTAGGTTCTCCCATGATGGACAAAGCCCTAGCCTTCTGCCATTCTGCCTGGATGATTCCTTTTTTGAAAAAGTACCCACACTGATTTGTGGATAATCCAGAGAGGGGTTTAGATCAATTTTCTACTAAAATTTTCTAGACTTATACGTGAGTATATACAATACTGCTTACTAAGTTAGTCGAGTCTTGTATCTGGTCTCTATCAATTCATGGAGGGGAAGCTTGAGATGTTAACAAGCTGGAATGTGTCCAGAGGAGGGCGACAAAAATGATCAAGGGTCTGGAGAACAAGCCCTATGAGGAGCGGCTTAAGGAGCGGGGCATGTTTAGCCTGAAGAAGAGAAGGCTGAGAGGAGATATGATAGCCATGTATAAATATGTGAGAGGAAGCCACAGGGAGGAGGGAGCAAGCTTGTTTTCTGCTTCCCTGGAGACTAGGACGGAACAATGGCTTCAAACTACAAGAAAGAGATTCCATCTGAACATGAGGAAGAACTTCCTGACTGTGAGAGTCATTCAGCAGTGGAACTCTCTGCCCTGGAGTGTGGTGGAGCCTTCTTCTTTGGAAGCTTTTAAACAGAGGCTGGATGGCCATCTGTCAGGGGTGATTTGAATGCAATTTTCCTTCTTCTTGGCAGGGGTTGGACTGGATGGCCCATGAGGTCTCTTCCAACTCTATGATTCTATGATTAAGCAGGTTTAGTAAAATAGAGAGTGAGTGCAGGAAAGCCTCTGCATTTTATCCTCCTACCTGGTAGTCTTCTCCTGCAAGTGCCTTTTTTCTGTCCTCCTTATCAAGATGAACACAGATAAATACAACTGCAAACCCAACCCATTTTGCCTTTTGAACTCCCAGGCTCCTCGTGTACTTTAAAAATGAGGAGTGAAAGGATGAAGACCCTCCAAAACTGAAATAGGAAATGACATGTCATAATTTCTGGTTGCCAGTACAACCTTTTGGGAAGGTTGAAAATGGCCACTTGTCTACTCTGAGGATGAAACAATTCAGAGACAATGCTTTTTCATAGATCCCTTCTCCCCAAATATGTAGCCCTAAAGGTGTTACAGTTATCTCTCTGTATCCATGGATTTTTTTATCCACCACTTCAATCATCCACAGCTTGAAAATATTTGTCCCTAAAATTTCTACCTTGATTTTGCCATTTTATATAAGGGATTCCTTTGTCTCAAGATTGGGAAAGGCATACGGCAGGGTTGTATACTCTCTCCCAACCTATTCAACTTGTATGCAGAACACATCATGCGATGTGCGGGGCTTGACGAATGCAAGACTGGGGTGAAAATTGCTGGAAGAAACATTAGCAACCTTAGATATGCAGATGACACCACTTTGATGGCTGAGAGCAAGGAGGAGCTGAGGAGCCTTCTAATCAAGGTGAAAGAAGAAAGTGCAAAAGCTGGGTTGCGGTTAAACATAAAAAAAACAAGATTATGGCAACAAGAATGATTGACAACTGGGAAATAGAGGGAGAAAATGGAGGCAGTGACAGACTTTGTATTTCTAGGTGCAAAGATTACTGCAGACGCAGACTGCAGCCAGGAAATCAGGAGACGCTTACTTCTTGGGAGGAGAGCAATGACCAATCTCGATAAAATAGTGAAGAGTAGAGACATCACACTGGCAACAAAGATCTGCATAGTTAAAGCAATGGTATTCCCTGTAGTAACCTACGGATGTGAGAGCTGGACCATAAAGAAGGCTGAGTGAAGGAAGAGAGATGCTTTTGAACTGTGGTGTTGGAGGAAAGTTCTGAGAGTCCCTTGGACTGCAAGAAGATCCAACCAGTCCATCCTCCAGGAAATAAAGCCAGGCTGCTCACTGGAGGGTAGAATAGTAGAGGCCAAGATGAAGTACTTTGGCCACATCATGAGAAGAAAGGAAAGCTTAGAGAAGACAATGATGCTGGGGAAAATGGAAGGAAAAAGGAAGAGGGGCCGACCAAGGGCAAGATGGATGGATGGTATCCTTGAAGTGACTGGATTGACCTTGAAGGAGCTGGGGGGTGACGACCGACAGGGAGCTCTGGCGTGGACTGGTCCATGAAGTCATGAAGAGTCGGAAACGACTGAACGAATGAACAACAAAAACATAAGGGATTCCATTTCACAACATTATTGTATAATAGTGGGACTTCAACACCCACTGATCTTGGTATCTCTACATGGGGTCCTGGAACTATATACCAGCAGTGGGTCCCAAGGGTCCCTTATACTTATATATATCAACCCTCCAGTCTAAAATCCATCTCCTTGGCTTGCAACCCTATTGTAAGAGCTAGCTCTCACAGTAGTAGTAAATCTGTGAATGGGCTTAATTTGTGCAAAAGAAAAAAGGAGAAATTGCCCTCAAGCAAGAAAACTCTAGAAAGCAATATGAAGGTCAGAACAAGCTATATCACAAGATAATTTACTGTGACATAAAGGTATGTGGCCTGATTTCAATGTTTATAAAATATGTAGCGCTTTCTGCTGGCTCTTGAATAATTCCTACACATCTCAAAGCCAATTCCTGCTGAAGTAGTAGCCTACGTAAAGACTGAGCAACTTCAGGCTGCAAACACAGAATTTAAAAAGTCTATAGATAATTAAAAATTACTTCACATCACACTGTACTTTCACTCTACATGGAATTTCCTGCTCAGGCTAAAGCTATCATGTCGGGGAGAAAGATGGGCCCAAACCTTTCTCTGTCACCTAGTTCTTTTATGTAAATTATCTCCCTCTCTCTTTTGGTATGATGGAACATTCAGACATATGAACTCTAGACCATGACTTGAAGTGACACAAGCCAGATACACCATGACCACTGTACATTCCTGATCTTTGCATGAGTATGCAATGACATGGAGAATAGCATATTCAATTGAAATGAAAACAATTGTCCAAGTGTTTATGTTGGCCAATGATGAGGTGGACACTAGAATAGCAATGTCCCCCATAGCTCAGCCTTTTGAACTAAGCCGGCTGGCATTCAGGGAATAAGAGACAAAACCATCTAGAGTAATGTTATCTATGGTCCAAGTTTCCTGCAGAAGGATCTTATCGAAGGTAGAGATATAATTACTAAAGTGGCTGTTGACCCCTTTATTTATCCAGCCCGCAATATTCCAGGAAATAACCCTTAGTAGAGAATACTTCTGGGGCCACTCGCATCAATCATCATGGCCGATCTGGTCAAAGAGACCCTCTAGGTCTGGCCTAATGCATCTGTTTGTCCTGAGCTTAGAGCTGGGCTTAAATCTGAGGACCATCGAGGAAGAAAAGGGGGCTTGGACTTTAGGATCCGGGGAGAGAGGTTCCTTTTGTCAGACAGCAGGTTTAAAAGGTACATTGGCACTGGCGGGATGGAGTTTAGGAGGGGATACAATTTGCGCTGTCGTGAGGATTCTGGAAGATGGTTTGGGGTCAGCACAGGGTTCTAAGGCCACTGCTTCTTGATGCTGAACCTCAGAACGACACACATTTTGTGAGACAGTTGCTATCTGCTGAGAGGAACTTCCGTGAGTGGGAGATTTCCAGGTACTCCATACAATGAAAGACTCTGGCCATGTAACAATCAGGAAGTAGAGTGCATCTACCACATTCTACTGTCATGCTGGCCCGAGCAGACATGAACCCCTACTAAGGAATTTATCAGCAAGTTCAGAAAAATCTTATATGAAGTTTCTACTTAGTGACAACCTTCCCCACGTGACCTTGGTGGTTGCAAAGTTTCTTTCTGAGGCAGCCAAAATTAGACATTTCCCAATTTTAGCCTCAAATTGGCTAAAAGTCTTTTACCTATGCTTTTAGCCAACTTGTGTTTTAACCAATTTTTAACTGTTATTAATTTTACCCATCTGTGTGCCCAAGCTACTGGCTGTTCTTAATCTTATTGCCTGCATATCTTGAGGCTGAAACATGTCGGCACTTCTTGTAGCTTTTTACCCTTGTTTTTAGTCAACATGTACAGGGTGGGGAAAGTGGAAGGTAAAAGGAAGAGGGGCCGACCAAGGGCAAGATGGATGGATGGCATCCTTGAAGTGACTGGACTGACCTTGAAGGAGCTGGGGTGGTGACGGCCGACAGGGAGCTCTGGCGTGGGCTGGTCCATGAGGTCACGACAGTCGGAGACGACTGAACGAATGAACAACAACAGAGTGGGGCAGCATAACTTCCTTTTTTCAAAACTTAATAAAACCCATTGTATGAATCAGAATTTATTTTATAATGTAGGCGCATACCTAAAGTTTTGTTTTACGTAGTTTTGAAGATCAAATTAGGTAGGTGTCGTTCCCCATTCTCCATTCTCCATACACTGAGTAAACTGATTTCTGGCGTTTGTCATGACTCTTGCCAGCATAGCAGGCGTTACGTTGGCAATTTCTTCCTGGATGTTGGTCTTCCAATCTTGTAGGGTCCTTGGACGGTTCACATAAACACGGGATTTCAAAAAAACCCATAGAAAAAAATCACAGGGGGGCAAATCTGAAGAGCGGGCCGGCCACTCCAAATCCGCTAGAAAAGTAGGCCTCAACTGCAAAAGCACACTCCTCACTGTCCCAACGCATGATGGCAACTGAACTGTGTCAGGACAAAACTTTATACTCCTGCCTCTCGAACGAGACCACTAGCGCTCTGCTACGTCTTCAACCGACTGAATGGCGCACATTTTAAAAGAGGAAGTTATGCTGCTTCACCCTGTATTTTAAACAGCTTTTACTGTGTCCAAATTTTATCCACTGGATGTTCTTAATCTCATTACCTGTATAACTTGTGTGCTACAGTGTAATAAGGGTCTCTGGACCATAATAAAATTTACCAGGAAATGAAAACATCTGGCCCAAAATATCATGGAGTTGCATTGGAAGGCCTAGAAAGCACATACAGAGGATAAATGAAACTGTGGGGGATGGGAATTATACTGTACAAGACTTCACTGTCTCTGTGTGTATCTTAATTTGTTGTACTCCGCCTCGAGCCATCAAGAGAGGCAGGTAATAAATGAAATGTATGATGATGATGATGATGATGACCTAAATCTTGAGCAATATTAATCTCAGCTCTTGTCACCACCAATATCCACAGTTTAAGGATGTCAGGGAAAAGAGAAAGAGGTACCATCAGGCTCTGTGTCAACACCCACCTCATCCGTCTCCAGCGTGATGGCGTTGAGACGAGACTGAATATGCTGAAAACGCGAGACTAGTTCATTTCTCAGGGGACCCTCAGCCCGCACTTCTGAAACCTGAAGACAGAAATATGAAGGGAAGGAGAGTCTAAGGGCCAGACTGAATGGAAAGCCAAGAAGAGAAATCCCCAGCGAAGCAGAACTGAGCATCTCCTCACCTCGTCTCCCTCATGAGGTTGGTAGTCAAAGCACAGAGGCGGGCAGTAAGCAGCAGGGTTGGCCTCCATCAGCCTGGACTTATCTCCTAGTGGGTCCAGAGCATCAACAGCACCTTCAATGGTGCACAAGCCCTGCTGCCAAGATGCCTGGGCCCGGGACTCTGCAGCCAGGTAAGTCCTCAGCACCTTGCCCAGGGAAAGGTGGAATCCGAGGTCGAAACACTGGAAACGAGGAGAAAGAAAACCCACTGTCACTTCCCAAACCATGATCATAATAATTCTGCTAACATCCCAAGAGAGGTCAACTATTACAGTCTGTACATGACAGAATTATCATCCACAAATGATATCACTGTACCTTTCATTACAGCTTCATGATAAAGGAAAGCTTGGTTACTCTCTGTCTGACGACTGTTTAAAACACAAAAGCTTTGGGCAGAAATTGAACTTGACTTGATAAAAACTAAAAATACTACGCAAATCGAGCCATTATATTTAAGCAGAAGGACCTGTAGGAGAGGAGAGAGGAAGGGATGAAAGAGGAGAGAGGAAGAAAGGAAAGAAGAGGAGAGGAAACTGAAGAGGAGATGGAAGGGAAGAGAAGAAAAAGGCAGGAAAGTCGAGACCCTTGAGAAGCGTTTCTCAACCTTCCTAATGCCATGACCCCTTAATATAGTTCCTCATGTTGTGGTGACCCCAACCACATTTTTTTTCCATTGCTATTCATAACTGTAATTTTGCTGCTGTTATGAATCTTAATGTAAATATCAGATATGCAGGATGCATTTTCATTCACTGGACCGAATTTGGCACAAATACCCGATACGCCCAAATTTGAATACTGGTGGGGTTGATGGAAGAGATTGGTTTTGTCCTTTGGGAGTTGTAGTTGCTGGGATTTATAGTTCACCTACAATCAAAGAACATTCTGAACTCCACCAACGATGGAATTGAATCAAACTTGGCACACAGAACTCCCATGACCAACAGAAACTACTGGAAGGGCTTGGTGGGCATTGACCTTGGGTTTTGGAGTTTTAGTTCACCTACATCTGGAGAGCACAGACTCAAATACTCAATATGCCCATATGTGAACACTGGTGGAGTTTGGGGAAAACAGACATTTAGTAGTTGTAGTTGCTGAGATTTATAGTTCACCTACAATCAAAAAGCATTCTGAACCCCAACAATGGTAGAATTGGGCCAAACGTCCCACACAGAGACTCTCATGGCCCACAGAAAATACTGGAGGGATTAAGGATGAATTGACAGTGATTTAGGGGAGATGTAGTTCACCTACAGTCAGAGAGCACTGTGAAACCAAACAACTATGCCAAAGGGATTTCTAAGACCATCAGAAATATGTGTTTTCTGATGGTCTTTGGCGACCCCTCTGAAATCTTCTCATGACACCCCCCCTCCCCGGGGTCCCAACCCCCAGATTAGAAACACTGACCTAGAATCTTTGGTGTCAAAGTTTTTGTCATTTCCCTGTCACATGATCACAAATTTAGAAATCCAATTCTACTGGAAGAAATCAGGCATACAAAGGTGCTTCTTGAGATATCATAATTGAGATATCAAAATTGAAGGAAAAGTAATTTGTGATATAATAATTTTTACGCAGGGGTTCAATGAAACCTGAAAATTATTTAAAGTGCTCTTTCAAGGTAAAAAGATTAAGAAAGGCTGTGGTAAGAAATCAGAAGAAAAGTGTGGAAGCTGAAAAAAAAACATTGGAATATCACCTTTTAACAAATACCCACTCACAATTTATCTTTGCACCATGTTAGAAGGAACTGCCCATGGATTTTCTGACATTTTCCCCCACTATTGTATTTATGATGTCTAGAACTGTATGGTTTCTTTTTAAAATGGAGGAAAAGTTGGATGATATTCTTAACAGATATATTTTCCATGATTCTAAGGTAAAGGTTGTCCCCTGACATTAAGTCCAGTCATGTCTGACTCTGGGTGTTGGTGCTCATCTCCATTTCTAGGCCAAAGAGCCGGCGTTGACCATAGACACCTCCAAGTTCATGTGGCCGGCATGATTGAAAGGAGCGCCGTTACCTTCCCGCCGGAGCAATACCTATTGATCTACTCACATTTGCATGTTTTCAAACTGCTAGGTTGGCAGAAGCTAGGGCTGACAGCGGAAGCTCACACCGCTCCCCAGAATCGAACCTGTGACCTTTCGGTCAACAAGCTAAACAACTCAGTGCTTTATCCCACTACGGCACCTAATTTGAGTCCTGTATTGACTCAAATTAGTCTATAAAGGACTCAAATTAGTCCTGTATAGACTGGGGTCTGTGTGGAGATGAAAAAGTTCCATTCATTTCTACATGGAACTAAAATTCCATTAAGATGACATGAGACCAGCACACATTTATCATGTAGATACCTCCATTCCATTGGGATAAATTAGGTGTTGGCAAAGTGCAGCTCTAGGGCCACCTTAGACTCCCCCCAAAAGCTTTTTCTATGGCCCTTGACTCCTCCAGACATCTCTGAGTTGGGATGTAACCTTTTAAATACGTTACAGTCCTACTGATACTACTTAAACATGAAACAATACATTTTTTTAAAAAAAAAACATATACTTCTAGCAATTTATTAGAGGAGGGGAATAGAGGACAGACTCACATCTAGCAGGTCAGCAACGTCACGGACATAGTAGTTGCTGATGGCAGCATTGGCAGAGTGAAGGCTCAACAGGTAGTCATTCCTGGCTTTGGCACATTTGAGTTTGCTCTCCAGAAACTTCGACTGCCTCTACAAAGGCAAAAGGAATGTTAGGGATTGACCACAACCAGCCTTTGGATGCACCAAATGACTCAAACACCTTTTTGGCTAAGTGAGTAAATACTTCTGACATTTTTTATTTTGCTATTATGACAGTGTAACTTAATTGAATCTCCTTTGTTGTGAGAAAAAAAGATATAAGTAAACATAATAAGCAAGATTGTTGTTGTTGAAAAATCAGAGATGAAAATAGTAAAGGAAAAGGTAAAGGTTTCCCCTGACATTAAGTCTAGTGTGTCCGGCTCTGGGGGGTGGTGCTCATCTCCATTTCTAAGCCAAAGAGCCAGCATTGTGCATAGATGCCTCCGAGGTTATGTGGCCAGCATGACTGCATGGAGCACTGTTACCTTTCCGCAGAAGCAATACCTATTGGTCTGCTCACATTTGCATGTTTTCGAACTGCTATGTTGGCAGAAGCTGGGCCTAACAGCAGGAGCTCACCCCACTCCCTGGTTCAAACCACCAACCTTTTGGTCAGCAAGTTTGGAAGCTCAGCAATTTAATCTGCCGTGCCACCAGAGGGGCAGAAGAAAATAATAAAAATGGAATCATGAGAGGGGAAGGAGGAGGCCCTGGTAGGGTGCTCAAAGGATTGGTCCAATGTGTTATTTGTGTATGGGGTTGTTATGGTTTTATATGTTTAATGGTTTTAAATGTTATATATATATATATGCTTCTTGTTTCTAGTAATTTTATGTTATGTTTTATATGATTTGTATAATGAGACATTGAATTTTTGCTAAGATGTATGTTGTACGCTGCTCTCAGTCCCCTGAGGGGTGAGAAGAGTGGGAAGTAAATAATAATAAATTATTATTATTATTATTATTATTATTATTATTATTATTATTATAAAGAATTAGCAAGATCATAAGGAGCCTCTGGTGGTGCAACGGGTTAAACCCTTATGCCACTATACAATGTCCCAGAATACTTGTTGGATGTCAGAACAAACACAAAGCAATCTATGTAAAGAAAAAGTATAATATCCGAAGAGCATACAGCATATAATTTTATCAAAATTCCCAATATATGCCACTGTATTGAACTGTATATTGGGAATTTTGATAAAACTATATACTGTATGCTCTTTGGATATTTTACTTTTTCCTTACATAGATTGCTTTGTGTTTCTTAAACCCTTATGCTGGTAGGACTGCTGACCAAAAAGATCGGCGGTTTGAATCTGGGGAGTGGGGTGAGCTCCCATCTGTCAGCTCCAGCTTCTCATGCAGGGACATGAGAGAAGCCTCCCACAGGACAGTCAAACATCTCGGCATCCCCTGGACAACGTCCTTGCAGTCAGCCAATTTTCTCACACCAGAAGCAACTTGCAGTTTCTCAAATCACTCCTGACACACACAAAAAAGCAAAATCTTCCTTTATCTTACCTTCACGAGGCAAAATTTTCCTTTCTGACATTTTTTCTCCCTGACATATGAATGCTAGGTGCTGGGGGCTATACTTAATTTTGATCTTATTTCTGTAATGGCAGTGGAACTAATTGCCGGCAAATATTTGTCCCTCCAGATAGCATTAACTTGCAGTTCTTAGTGTTCTTCCTCAGTGAGTGTGCTGAATAGGGCTGCTGGGAGTTTCCAACCCTGAACTAGACATAAAAACTATCAGGAACCATCTCTGTGAGAAAATTAGAGCTATTCCAGAGCTTGGGAAACCACTGTTTTCCATTGAAATTCCCAGAATTCCTCTGCCAGCATGAATAGGGAGATGGAGAGAAAAAGGGTAATTATTCTAGGCTCTGTTTCTCCCTTTCAGTTAACAACTAGTAACTTCTTCTCCACACTTCGCACATGTTAATGTTTCATAATCATTCCCAACAACCAACTGCTAGTCACAATAGTCATCTGGTTTAATTTTATAAATACGGTAGAGTCTTGCTTATCCAACATAAACAGGTCAGCAGAACATTGGATAAGCTAAAATGTTGGATAATAAGGAGGGATTAAGGAAAAGTCTATTAAATGTCATATTACGTTATGATTTTACAAATTAAGCACCAAAGAATCATGTTTTACAACAAATCGACAGAAAAAGCAGTTCAATAAATAGTAACATTATGTAGTAATTACTGGATTTACTAATTTAGCACCAAAACACGACAAAGTATTAAAACAGCTGTGGATCCAGGTGGGAGGCAGACTGCATTGAATGTTGGATGAGCGAAGGCTGGATAAGCGAGACTGTACTGTAGTTTTGCAAGAGTACATATTTATTTATTTTATTTATTTACACTATTTATATACTGCTTTTCTCACCCCTAGGGGGACTCAAAGCAGTTTACACATAGATAATGGCAAAAATTCAATGCCTTACAACTACAATAGTAAAACCAAACTTTAAACATAAATCATATTAAAAGCAGTACATCACCAAACATCAAAACAATTATTAAAACTATAGAACAATCTCATCAGTCGAGTCGCCGTTCCAGTCCTTGTCCCACTAAAAGCTGCATGCATCTATTGTCCGAAGGCCTGGTCCCAGAACCATGATTTTAATTTTTTTCTAAAGGTCAGGAGGGAAGGAGCAGATCTTACTTCCTTTGGGAGTGTGTTCATAGACACGGGGCCACAGCCAAGAAGGCCCTGCTCCTTGTCCCCGCCAGCCGCATTTGCGCTGTCGACAGGAACGAGAGCAAGGCCTCCCCGGATGATCTTAAATTGCGAGGTGGGACGTAGGGGCAGATGCGTTCGGACAAGTAAGCTTGGCCCGAACCGTGTTTCTACATTTTCTAGGGAAATTTCATGGCTTCATTATTTTTAACCCCTTACAAGGTAAAAGAATAAAATAATCTGAATAATTGGAAAGTACACACTCTCTGTCCTTGGAGGTATTGAGCAGTGGAGGGGTTTAGGTTGTCTGTCTCTGGCCAGATTACATCCTGAGCTTGAAAGTGCTTGTTGCAAATGACCTTTTAAGCAACACATTGGTTTTGCCCCAAACTAATGTTAGGTTTAGAGACATCCCACTCACAAGTAATGCATAAGTCACTTATGAAGGACCACAGAGGCGTTGTTTTTTTGCTTTGTCCGTGTAAGATGGTTTTCTTTTTAAACTTGTAAACAAAAGGCCTCCAACACAGAGAAACACGGCATCTTATTGCTTCCTCTAACATGACCCATCACTTCCTGAAAGTGGCTAGAGTGTTACTTCGCCACGTCAGGAAATGCTGAATTTTGTCGGAAGACCTGTTACTTCTGCTGCTTTCTCTCCTCTACAACCCAGCAGAGGAAATGCTGCTCTACAGCACAAGGCCCTTGTTTAATAGCTTTAAAAGAAAGAGTGAAATACTAAACCGGGGGTGCTCAAACTTTTTAAACAGAGGGCCAGGCACCGTGCCTCAAACTGTTGGAGGGCCGGATTATAATTTGAAAAAAAAACCATGAATGAATTCCTATGCACATTGCACATATATTATCTGCAATGCAAAAAACACTTTAAAACAATACAATAATGAAAAAGAAGAACAATTTTAACAAATATAAGTTTATAAATATTTCAATGGGAAGTGTGGGCCTGCTTTTGGCTGATGAGATAGGATTGTTGTTGTTGTGTGCTTTCAAGTCGTTTCAGACTTAGGTTGACTTTGAGCGAGGGCCGGGTAAATGACCTTGGAGGGCCGTATGCAGCCTGCAGGCCTTAGTTTGAGGACCCCTGTCCTAAACCTTGCCATGTTATATGTAAGACACAGACACTCTCCCCAACTACTTGACTAAAGTGCTGGAACAATTGTAGGTTGGGTGCCTTGAAGTCATTTCTGGTCTATGGTGACCATAAGATGACTCTATCACAGAGTTGTCTTGGCAAGATCTGTTCAGATAACAGGTTTGCCATTGACTTCCTCTGAAGGCCATCAAGGGCCCTTCCAGACAAGTCCTATATTCCAGGATCTTATCCCAGGTTATCTGTTTATCTCAGATTATCTGGCAGATATCGGGAAGAGCAGGTTGAGCTCCCTCTGTCAGCTCCAGTTCCCCATGTGGGGGCATGAGAAAAGCCTCCCACAAGGATGGTAAAAACACCAAAAACATCTGGGCATCCCCTAGATAACATCCTTGCAGACAGCCAATTATCTCACATCAGAAGCGACTTGCAGTTTCTCAAGTTGCTCTGGCAGTGGGGACTCGTATACTATAAATCAAATTAAACCAGAAAACCTGGAATCAGATTCTGGAATATAGAGTCTGTCTGGAAGGGTCCCAAGTGGCTACTTTCCCATAACCACACAGTAAGATGATACAGGAAGACTGATAAGCAAAAGGTTTGTAAAGGCTAACACGTTAACATGAATGGCAACATTTCCAAGCTCTATTTGCACCCACAAAAGTGAACTCTGTAGAATATATTCAAAGCCAACTTACATCACAAATGGACCTATTTTCATGGATATTACTGGAAACTACACTTCGAAATAAGTGATGAAAATCCCAACATTTCCTTGCATCAAATGGCTATATTTTTTATTCCAAAGTAACATAAATTTAGAACAATATTTCCTTGGTATTTCTTTTATGCACTCATCATTGTTCATTGTTAAGGCAACAAGCTTTGAACAGCATATTCAACAGAATCATTAAGCGATGTGAAGTGTGACAGTACTGTAATAGGAAGAACACAATAAAATGTTCTTCTAAAATGAGTTTTTCTTCTTATCTGTTATGGTCTCACGTGTACATTCACTTTCCTCTATACCTCTAAGAAGCACCTATGAATTTTTTAATAGGAAATAGAATCATTTGATAATTGAATTTGGACAAGTTTTTTAACTAGGAGACACTGATGATAATGATGTTGGTTTTTATTGTTTTTAGTGTGGTTTAATATTGTCTTAATGCTTAATCTGTATTTTGCTATTATGTGTACTGACTTGTAAACCGCCTTGAGTCGCTGATAGGCTGAGAAAGGCGGTATACAAGTATAGTAAATAAATAAATAAGCTATGGCTTCGTGTGATATGTGATATTATTTTATGTGATGTGTTTAATAATGTTTAATGTCTTATCAGGGAAGAGTCAATTTTGAGATTTTATAGTATTTTTTATTGATAGCATTGAATTGTTGCCAATACTGAGTCCCCTTCAGGGTTGAGAAGAGAAGCATACAAATACCACAAATAAGTGAAAAATAAATAAATCCACTGGGTTGTTGTAGGTTTTTTCAGACTATGCGGCCATGATCTACAGGCATTTCTCCTGACGTTTCGCCTGCATCTATGGCAAGCATCCTCAGAGGTAGCGAGGTCTGTTGGAACTAGGAAAAATGATTTATATATCTGTGGAATGACCAGGGTGGGACAAAGGACTCTTGTCTGCTGGAGCTAGGTGTGAATGTTTCAACTGACCACCTTGATTAGCATATAATGGCCTGACAGTGCCTGTCAGGCCATTATATCCATCTAAAGTAGTAGTTATTGTCTACTTGTGAGTTATATTAATTGTATTGTTTATTTTTGTTTATTGCTTGTTGTTTTATTATTGCTTGTTTTTGATGTATTGTTGGGCTTGCCCTCATGTAAGCCGCTCCGAGTCCCTTAGGGAGATGGTGGCGGGGTATAAACAAAATTATTATTATTATTATTATTATTACTAAAGTTGTTTAATCAATTGATCCCTCTCCTCCTGGAACAATTATATTCAGAAGGTGAAGCATCAAATTATCATCAAATGGTGGCCCTAAGTATTAGTAGTCCCTTCTAGAACCTTTTCAGAAAGTCTTACATAATAGATTCCCAACACAAAAAGTGCTCTGTTCTCATACTTTTTCCAGCAGCCGCTCAACCTTTTTGAGGGAGGTGCGACGGGGTGCCTTGTCAAGTCCGATCCCACCAGGGGAGCCCCCAGGATCGGGGTGCCTCCCGCCACTCCGCTTCTCCTCTTGACGCTCAGCCTCCCGCAGCTTTGTCTCAGCATTTAGGCAGTCGATGCGATACGTCTGATATGATTTCATGGCCTGCGTGGACACAGTGGTGCATGTATTTGTCAAGAGCAGATGGACCAGAACCAAAGAGCTCAGCCAATAAACGAACAAAGAGCTTCAAATCTTAGGACACAATAACACACACACACAAAGCCTCCTATTCTATAGCCTGCATAATCCCAGGGGCCCACATCTAGAAATGTATGGAAGTGATGCAGAGTTGAAAGGTTTATGCATCAAGAAGGAACTGTAAATCATAAATAAAGTGCCCTTAACAGCTTAAATGATAGACATTTAATGTTATAAAATCTATCCAATGAATTAAAATGTTGTGCTCCTGCCAAGCTGACCTGTTGCACAATTCCTAATTATTTCATTTCAATGCAGCTTGAAGAAGAAAAGCTTCCCTGAGCTTTATATCCCATGGGTTGGATCTATCTTCTATCGTGCCAGTTTTAATACCACTCCCAAAACCTTTGGTAACCATCCTGCCTCTGAGGCCTTCTCTGCAGAGGACTAACACTATTCACAGCTAAGCAATTGAGCTCAGCAGCAGGATACGTATTTTACACACACAATGCCCCAGATTGAATCCCTGGCATTGCCAGTTAGGAAATTCCAGGACAGCAGAGTTGGAAATGACCTCCGCCTGAGGATGAAACAGTTCTGTGCATTCACCATTCATCATGTTCCAAATTATACAAACAATAATTGCCTGAAACGCTCATGCCTGCAATCATTAGGACAAACCATCATTGCCATATGCATTAGTTCAGTACAGGTTGAGCATCCCTTATTTAGAATTCCAAAATCCAAAATTTTCCAAAATCCAAAACTGCCCATATGAGATACTGACACCTTTGCTTCCTGATAGTACACAAAATTTTTATGCACAAAAATATTGTGTATTAAAATTGCCTTTTGGTCATGAGTATGAGATCGATAGATAGATAGATAGATAGATAGATAGATAGATAGATAGATAGATAGATAAGAAAGATCGGTGAATTTCATATTTAGACTTGGATCCATAAGTCATCTATATAAATAAAAATGTAATGTTTGTTTGTGGGATTAACATAATTCAAAAACCACTGGACAAATTGGCACCAAATTTGGACACAGTATACCTATCAGGCCCAAGAAATGATCATCACTCATGAAAACACTGAAAAAAAAAGAGCAAGAGACTTAAAAAGCAAAAAATAAATAAAAATACATTACAAAGCATGCACAAAGACACATCTATACACAAACACACATATATACACAAATACACAAATATATACACATACACATATAAACATATATACACATACAAAACACATATACACAGACTGGGCCACAGCAACGCGTGGCAGGGGACGGCTAGTTAAATATAAAACCTTGCATTCTACTTACTGTCTGCAGTTCTGAAATTGCCTTCAGCAGCTCATCCTGCATTTGCTGCTCCATCTCTTTGCTCTGACCGGTGAATTAAAAGAAAAAGAAAGGAAATGTTAAGACAAAACTTCCCAGGGCCGTATATATAGAAGTACAAGGCGGGGGGAGCCATAATCTCCCATAAATGTTGTGGGTAGAGGATACAGTGAAACAATTGTAGGTGACTTGGAGAATGCAAAGCAGAGCTCAGAGGTAGCATTTAGTAGCCAGCAGATAGCACTCAGGATCCAGACTATATAGATCACATCTCTGATGCTGTGTCCACTTCTCCACAGCTCTCCTGAAGCATCCAATGATACCCAAGTACTTCTGACTTTTGGATTGTAATTCCCAGCATTTCCAGCCAACCTGGCCAAGGAGGATGCTGGATGCTCTACACCAGTGGTTCTCAACCTGGGCTCCCCAGATGTTTTTGGCCTACAACTCCCAGAAATCCCAGCTAGTTTACCAGTTTCATTATAGACCAGGGAAAATATGAGGTCAAGGGCTTCAGCAGAAGTTGGTGTGGAGAGGTGGAGCAGTCACTCTTTTGCAGTTTAGAACCCTAGACAATCTCCGTCTACCCTCCAAGACACCTACTTTCCGTGCCAGTCGCCCGACATCTTCACTGATGTGCACCAAGCGAAGCGCCAAGTGGCCAGTGTAGATTTCACTCAGTGCGCCATGATCCCGACTCGCCTGCCGTGTCTGGTTGAGGATTGTGTACCAACAGTTCAAGGGGGATGGAAGATTTTGGTCCTTCCTTCAGAGAAACAAAGGACAGTTTTTAATCTCTGACCAGACAGAAAAAATTACTTGTTACTGCTTGTTTTCTTTCTCTCCCTCTTTTTTTTGTCCCTTTCCTTGTTTTTTGTGTAATTCCACTTCTTCTGCACTTAAATTGTAAACTGTGGGGGGCAGAAGTATTTTTTTTACTTATCTTCTTTCACATGATTTTTAAAACCTTTTTAAAAAATAGTTTTTATTATATTATACGCACACGAAGAAATATGAACATTTTGTTGGAATTTACATAGAAAGTGGGAGAACACTAAATGTATAGGAAAGTAGGAAAATATTAAGAATGAATAGAAATATGCAAAAAAAGAAAAGGGGAAAAAGATATATATATATATATATATACACATATACATATATATACATATATATATACATATATACACACCTCTCTCTCTCTCTCTCTATATATATATATATATATATATATCATACAAAAATACCTAAAAAAGAAAAAATAGAAAAAAATAGAAAAAAGCTAATTAAAAATAAGAAAATAAATAAAATGAAAAAAGTAATTTGACTTCCATTCTATGTCTTCACCTAAATTATGTAAATACTTATTTAACTATTTATTATTATTATTATTATTATTATTATTATTATTTAATTTTTCATTTCTTTCTATAAACTCCTTTTTAATCATAGACAAGGGGGAAAAAACAGAAATAAATGTATTAAAGATAATAGAATCATAAACACGTTACTAAATACTCTTCTCTTTCACATATTTCTCAAAGGACAACCAGTCTGTCCCTTTTATTGGACTTCCTGAGCTTTTCTTCAAAAACAAAAAACAAAAACGTTAGCTTGTCCATGTCTCTAATTTCTTGTATTTTATTTATCCCATCGTCTACTTTCGGAGTTTTGTCCATTTTCCAAAGTTTCGCATATGATATTCTTGCTGCAGTTGAGTGAATAGGGTATCTTTATTTTGGTCCTAGGTAAGATCTGAGTCAGTAATATTTAGTAAGTAGTACTCTGGTTTTCTTGGGAATAATATTCCAAATATTTTTTGGGATTCTTTGTGTATGAGCTTCCAATATTTTTGAGCTTCTTTACATGTCCACCACATATGGAAGAAGCTTCCATCGAGGTCATGACACTTCCAACATTTTTTTTTCATATTTTTATACATTAGTCCTAAATTTTTGGGCGTGGCATACCATCTATGGAACATCTTGAGCCAGTTTTTTCTTAAATCCATTGCAAATGTATATTTTAGTTTCTTATTTTTTAAAACCTTTAATATGTGCAATACAAACCCCTTATCTGCAGACTTATGGTTTCACATACCCATACACAAAAAATATTCCCCTTCTAGGTCCTCCACTGCAATTTTATGTATACTTCTCATCAAGTACTACCAAAATACCATAAAAGTCTTGTTATTATCTATGGTTTCAGGTATCCATGCCTGTATGTGTGTATCTTGGAACATATTCCCTATGGATACGGGGGTTGTACTGTATATTTAATCCTTCCTAGATAAGTGGATACCATGTTGAAATTAAATAAATATGCCATGTAAAACAATGGCACCATGCAAGCAGCAACTCACAACAATGACCTATTCTGGTTATTTTTAAAGGAACAAACACCATTCATTTTGTCATCATAAATCACTGTCAGATTTATGCCAAGCACATTTGCACACAGATCACTGACAACACACCAAGGGCTGTGTGTGAGTAGCGTAGCCCTCAAGATCATGTTCAACTGCAGCTCTCAGGACCTCTATCCATCATTATCAATGGTAAGGAATGATGGGCGCCTCCATTCTATATCATCCGAGAGGACCAAAAAATTCACACCTCTGCTTTGGAAATATTCACACCAGAGAATTCAAACACAGATTTTCAGTAGAGGCGATTGCCAAAAGGGCATTTATCCTTCTGGAGGTCTGCCTTGTTACTGACAAGCAATACATTGGAGGACTTTCAATAATCACTTCTGCGTGTATGGGAATTTCCAAGCAAACTGTTGACATCTGGCCCACTATTTGTGTGACCTAAAATGCAGAGCTGGAAAGAGCTGGAGTTCTGTCTTGTCTCCTCGTGAATTAGCCAGAGAAGAAACAAAAATGCATGATCAATTTCTCTGGCTTATTAGGGGACAAATAACCTGGAACAAAGGTGGTGCAGTGAGTTAAAAGCCTTGTGCTGATGAACTGCTAACCTAAATGTTGGCAGTTCTAATCCACAAAACAGGGTGAGCTCCCATCTGTCAACTCCAGCTCCTGCCAACATGCAAATATGAGTAGATAGATAGTTACTGCTTTGAAAAAAGCAAAAAAATACTTCAAGTAATCTTGCTGGCTACACAACCAGGAGGTGACTATGCAGGATCCTCGGCTTTAAAATGGAGTAAAGCACCTCCCAGAGCCAGACATGAGCACCACCTCCAGAAGCCGGAAATGAAAGGAGAAGCCTTTGCATTTGTGTGTCTCATCATATATGATTGTAAAAGGAATTGAATGTTTGGCTATGTATATAAATGCTGTAATCCGGAATATAAAAAGTGTATTATTATTATTATTATTATTATTATTATTAGAAACACAACAAGGTGAGTCCAGAGCAGACACTCTGCTGGCTGTTGCATTGGATCACACTTTGGACACTTCCCAAGTGTCTAGGACTGTGTGATGTATCGGTGAATAATGCCTGCAGATCCTAGTAAGGTGGCCTTCTGCAGCTGACAAATGGTAATTTTTTTAGCGCCGATTGTGTTTAAGTGCAGGCCAAGGTCTTTAGGCACTGCACCCAGTGTGCCGATCACCACTGGGACCACCTTGACTGGTTTGTGCCAGAATCTTTGTTGCTGTTGCTGTTGCTGTTGTTGTTGTTGTTGTTGTTGTTATTATTATTATTATTATTATTATTATTATTATTATTATTATTATTATTATTATGGCTCCTGCTAGGTTTATTTATCTATTTGTTTATTATCTGTTCTGCTTATATCCTTCTTGTGTCCATATTAAGTTTGAATACACACTAGTGCATTGCTTGCAACAAAACAGGGGTCCAGAGGGACCAAGACTTGTCATAAGAGTCAAACCAGTCTGAATACCTGCTTCTAAAATTGTCCGTATTATATACAACACATGAAATATATGATCTGTTTATCTGCAATAAATAATATCATGAAGGCTTTTTGTAAAAAGAGTCCAAGAGGACTGTGGTTAAGAGTCAGTTAAGACTCCATCAGGAGTTGGCTTTTTCCTTCCATACTATCATTCCTTCACTGCATGTCCTTCCAACCGCAGTTTTTAAAAATTACATTTCTCAGGGGCACTCAAAATCTGCCTTACACAATTTCGAGGCAAGCTTCTAATGTCACAAATTTGGTGGCTTTATCACACCAGCCTGTTGTCCCACAGCAACTGCCTGGCTTCAGCAAACCGAGAAACAGCAGTATGTAAACAATCACTTTCGCACCTTATCTCCAATAGCATTATGGTCAGTGATGCACATTCCCGCAACCAGTCTTCCACACTGCTTCACACGACCCCACTTTCTATCCATATCCACCCTACATAACACATAATACATCTCACAATTGTACAGTTCAATGCTTCTCACAAACAGAGGGTGCTGTCAAAATTGTGACCCAACTTGGCAGCACTATTACACAATTATGGCAAAACAACAATTTAAGAAAAATAAGGAAACATTAGTCCTGTACACCGGTATGTCCTATTTGGACACTGGAAGTGGAGTGACTTCACCACGTCCCATCTCGCAACCTAAGATCATCCGGGGAGACCCTGCTCTTGCTTCCGTCAACATCGCAAATGCATTTGGTGGGGACGAGAGACAGGGCCTTATCGGCTGTGGCCCCCCGCCTATGGAATGCACTCCCAAATGAAATAAGATCAACTCCATCCCTCCTGGCCTTCAGGAAAAAAATTAAAATCGTGGTTTTGGGACCAGGCCTTTGGGCAGTAGTCGTAATTTGCACCATAATGGACATTGACTGGAATGGCGTTGCAGCAGATGACATTGTGACTTTGTCTTATTGTTTTAATTAATGTTGGTTTTAATGATTGTTTTGTATTTGATTGTGTTATATTATTGTAATTGTGATGCAGCGGTCTTGCACCTTTACTAATGTAAGCCGTCCTGAGTCCCCCTTCGGGGGTTGAGAAGAGACAGGGTACAAATGCCAGTAATAAATAAATAAATTTGGGAAAGAGATAGGGAGAAGAGGAGAGCCATGTGCACTCACACCCTGTAACTGTTGGAATATCACTGTGGTGGAATGAAATAATCATTATAGTGATTCAACAATAGTCGAACAGAAATATCAGAGCCTGTAACTAGTGTTTCCCATTAAATCAGTGTTTCTCAACCTGTGGGTCTCCAGATGTTTTGGCCTTCAACTCCCAGAAATCCTAACAGCTGGTAAACTGGCTGGGATTTCTGAGAGTTGTAGGCCAAAACATCGGGGGACCCCAGATTGAGAACCACTGCATTAAATGATGGAAATGCAATGCAACAATGACAGAAACACAAGGCGATGTGAAAAATCGCTGCCAAAGATACAATTATCCTGATGTAATTAAGATTTATTACCACCCTTATGAGATAAAGCCTTTGTTGCCTAACAATACTCCTAGTTGTCTTCAGAGCCATTGGTCTCATGATGCTACCCCAAAGACCTCAGTGAGTTCGAGGGAGTCCACATGTTTGATATGTGAAAGGCTTCAGCTTCAGCCCATGGCATCGCCAAGTAGAGCTGGGAACGTCCTCGGTCTGAAATCCCAGGGAACCTCTGTCAGTCTCTGCCAAACGTGCTCAGCTGGACAGACCAAAAGCCTGTCTCAGCAGGAAGCAGCTCCTTGTGTTCCCATATTGGCAGCCATCCATTTATTTATTCATTCATTCATTTAAATATTAATGCCTGGCCCTTTATCTGAAGATCTCTGGTCAGCGTACAATAAATCCAATCTAACAAATTCTAAATACCAGTGGGATAAATAATTTAAAAAACTGAAAAGATAAAAACATATCAAACAGTTTATTATTATTATTATTATTATTATTATTATTATTATTATTATTATTATCATCATTATTTACAGTATTTATATACTGCCTTTCTCACCCCGGGGGGACTCCAAGTGGAAGGATCCATCTTTTAGTTAAACAAAATCCATCTTTAAAATCCATCTTTTAGTTAAACAACTAAAAGATAGATTAAACGGATTACAATGGTTTAAAATGAACTAAAGCTCTATGCAAGGTGGGGGTTTTGTAAAGTCAATAAGACCCTCACATAGTTTTTAAACAATCGTGTCTTTTCTCGGTTCACAAAAAAAGCAGAAATGTTGGTGCCAATTGAGCCTCAAAATGAAGGATTTTCCAAAATTGTGGTGCCATGGCAGAGAAGGGATGATATACCTGAAGTTCTGGTGCTCCTTGGAGCCACGAATCTTAGCTGAGAAGCGTTCAGACAGCTTTTCCAATCCTCGGGAATATTCCTGCTCCACCTCAGCCTTCCGGCGCAAGAAATCAGCCACATCTTGGAGCAGCTGCTGCCGACTCTCGGCCTGTGCGTCAAGACCTCGTACCTGCTCCCCCATCTGCCAGCGCATTTCTGAAACATATAAGCAAAGATCACAACCACTGGAAAGTCTTTGGTGAACAGGAACCTTTAAACCCTGCTTGGATGAGTCATCAAGGAGAGAGAAAGATGCTACTTTCCTTTTGATGTAGTGAAGAGAGATAAGAAGGAAGTTTTTGTATTGATCAAAGAACCTGGGTACATATGAAATTGAGCCCCCGGTGGCGCTGGGTTAAACCGCTGAGCTGCTGAACTTGCTGATCGAAAGGTTGCAAGTTCAAATCTGGGGAGTGGGGTGAGCTCCCGCTGTTAGCCCCAGCTTCTGCCAAGCTAGCATTTCGAAAACATGCAAATGTGAGTAGAATAATACTCATATTTGCTTTAGCAGGAAGGTAACAGCGCTTCATGCAGTCACGCCGGCCATATGATCTTGTCTACGGCAATGCCGGCTCTTCAGCTTAGAAACGGAGATGAGCACCAACCTCCAGATGCGGACACAACTGGATTTAATGTCAGGGGAACACCTTTACATATGACATATCTCTTGAAACAGGATTCACATTGTTTTCTCTTCCCACAGTAAGCCCAACATACTTTTAAGCACTGTATACAGGGTGCACCTATATTAGGCATGGGCAATCTTGGGACCTCCAGGTGTTTTGGACTTCAGCTCCCAGAATCCCTAATAGCCTCTGCTTAAGCAGCTAAGGGGAAAAAGGAAACCACCTGAGGATGTTAGGAATAGTGGGAGTTGAAGTCCAAAACACCTGCCATTTATTTTCCGGGCCCAATTCAAGGTGCAGGTCATCACCTATAAAGCCCTAAATGGTTTGGGACCCGCCTACTTTTGTGGCCATATCTCCCTCCATGAACCAGCCCGAGACCTCCGATCTCCGGGGGAGGCCCTCCTTTCGCCCCTGCCTAGAGAGAGAGCCTTCTCCTCTGTGGCCCCCTGAACTCTGGAACTCCTTACCTGGAGAGATTAGGAAAGCCCCCACCCTAGAAACCTTTAAAAAGTACCTTTGGTGAGTAGGTACATAACCTCACACTATCACTCAGCCTCAACGTTTCTGTCATTGGAGTACATGTGTCGTCGTCCCCTCGTGGGAAAGCTTGGTTCCAAAACCCTGTTTTTTTAATTGAGCTCCCCTTGCAAATAACCTGCTCCTCCTTTTATCTCACCCGAGTTTTTAATCATTTTTTAAATAATTTTATTCTGCACATGTGGCCCACCCATTGTCACTGTGATTATAATTTTATATTGCTAATGTATTTGTATGTGTTTTTCTTTTATTATTATGTAATTATGTTGTTGTTGCCTGTTGTTTGTGTTCTTGGTTTTACTTTGTTGTGATTTGTTGTTTGGGCTTGGCCTCATGTAAGCCGCCCCGAATCCCCGTTGGGGGAGATGGTGGCGGGGTATAAATCTATTATTATTATTATTATTATTATTATTATTATTATTATTATTATGGAGGGCCCAAGTTTGCCCATGTCTGATCTATATAATACAATTAATGCAATTTGGCACCACTTCAACTGACACGGCTCAATGCTATGTAATAATTGTAGTTTGTGAAAAGCCTTCTAAAAAATGGCAATGCACACAAACGGTGTCAAACTGCACTAAATCTGTAATATAGATGCACCGAAGAACAGATATTATATTGCTTGGCTTTTGTTTCCACTAGAGTTCCAGACAAGCTGCCTGTTTTTAAAGATTTTTTATGTGTTAAAGCTCTACATAATTATTCATTCATGTAAACCAAGGATTAGAAACCTCTCTGAATGTTTAGTCCTCCTATTTCTATCATCCCCACCCAGCACAGTCAATAATAAGGGATTGAGGGAGTTCAAAGTATCTGGGGAAGGAAAATATTTTCCGCTTCTGATGTCAACATGTGTTTGTTTCATTCATTTTCTCCAAAGGCACAATGAGTTGCAAATGTTCATAGTCTGACTCAGCAACCACTTCTTCACCAGAATTTTGTTACTACTCTTTTATCTTATTTTTATATAAGCACTAGGTTTTGTTCAGTGTATCATTGGAATATTTGGAATAAAACCATTTTTTTAAATATTGTGAGCATCCCTTATCCAGAATCCTAAAATCCAATATACTCCAAAATCCAAAACTCCACACAGGCAACTGAAATATTGATGGTTCAATGTACACAAGCATATGTATTAGAATCATTGTGCATAAAATTATCTTCAGGCTATGTGTATAAGGTGTATTTGAAACAAAAAGGGATGTCATGTTTAGACTTGAGCTTTATGTACATATATGTAGATACAAGTATTCCAAAATCTGAAAAGTCTGAAATCCAAAACACTTCTGGTCTCAGGCATTTCTAATAAAGGGTTACTCAATCTATATCTGTATTATCAATAAAGTTATTATATTTGTTCTAAATTCATGGTTTTCTGCTACTCTTAGGAAGAAGTAAATCTATCTGCAAACCCACATTTGTTTCTGCACAATATGTGAAATGACTCCAAATAAATAAGTAAAATTTATTACGGTCGATGACCAGATCACAACATGGGAACCCAGTCCCATGCATTCACATCAAACCCAAAGGGTTATACACTTCAAACTTTAACAAATTTTAAAATCTAAGCTAAAAACCAATACAAGTAGTTATTAAAACCTAATTCACCCCACAAGATAATCCAACGCAGTCTAAAGAGAAGTGGGGAGGGCACCGGGGAGGGGGGGGATATCAAACCCTATAAATAGTCTATATCTGATTTCCCATCTATATTCCAAGAAAAGCTTAGGTCTTTTAACCAAATACAATAGGAAACTGAAGTAGATCAGAAGTTAGTATCCATGCTTAACCAACACACATAAAATCTGGATGGAAGAAGGACCTCACGTTTCCCTTAAGAAGGTACACATACATACAAAAGGTTGAGTGTAACTGTAGTTAGGAACTTGGCCAATTTTATTTGGCCTAGGGACACATGTACATGCTTTCCTGCTCATGTTTTCTTTCTTTTCTCCCTTCCTGGCTCCATACACACATAGACATACAACTGTATCAAGAGCACACAGGCAAACATTCATACGCTCGCCGCTTCGTTCGAGGGAGAGTGCCAGCTTGGTCGGAAAGTTAAATAACGGAAGAGGAAAGTTCTGTAACACCTTGGCGTCTGTTAGCAGACCTGAGCTAAACATATACACCAATCCTTTCCACTACATCTAACTATAGTGCACAGGTCCAGCAACTGTAAACACAAATCATCTCCTGACAGCTCCTCTGTAATTAACATCTTAAAAAACATGCCATAAGCATCTGAATGCATACATTTTTAGACACAGGATTGAGAAACACTAATCCAAAACAATGGGATGCAGCTGGTTTTCTAACTTCTGTCAACAGGAGGGTTCACAAATGCCAGGTTGGTGCCACATGTTTTTCCTTGGGAGACCTTCCCACTCAGTTCTGAAATCATGAGTTAATTTTATCTGAACAACAAGGAAAATGGACCCAGACCATGGACGAAGGCTCTCTATTATCCTCATCTTTTTTTCCCCTAGTTCAAGGAAACACATAGGACACATATTAAGTCAAGATCTACTGAGTAAAGCAGGGGACCTCAAACTTTTTAAACGGAGTGCCAGGTCACAGTCCCTCAAATTGTTGGAGGGCTGGATTATAATTTGAAAAAACATTAATAAATTCCTATGCACACTGTACATATCTTATTTGTAGTGCAAAAGACACTTACAAACAATACAATAATTAAAATGAAGAACAATTTTAACAATATAAACTTATTAGTATTTCAATGGGAAGTGTGGGCCTGCTTTTGGCTGATGAGATATGGATTGTTGTTGTGTGCTTTCAAGTCGTTTCAGACTTAGGTTGACCCTGAGCGAGGGCCGGGTAAATGACCTTGGAGGGCCATATCCGGTCCTCGGGCCTTAGTTTGAGGACCCCTGGTCTAAAGAATGTTAAGAAACATCAGAATTTCCTGAAATATGATAGATTTCCTGAAAGGTTTATATGTTATATCAGGGGTCTTCAAACTATGGCCTGCGGGCCAGATACGGCCCTCCAAGGTCATTTACCTGGCCCTCGCTCAGGGTCAACCTAAGTCTGAAACAACTTGAAAGCACACAACAACAACAACAACAACAACAACAACAATCCTATCTCATCAGCCAAAAGCAGGCCCACTCTTCCCATTGAAATACTAATAAGTTTATATTTATTAAAATCATTCTACATTTTAATTATTGTATAGTTTTAAAGTGTTTTTTGAACTACAAATAAGATTGCCTGTGTGGAGTGTGCATAGGAATTCATTCATATTTTTTTCAAATTATAATCCAGCCCTCCAACAGTTTGAGTGACTGTGACCTGGCCCTCTGTTTAAAAAGTTTGAGGACCCCTGTGTTAGATAAGGCACATGAAGTGGGACCATGTGGTCTCTCTGCCCACCCCCATCCCTCATGTTATGCACAATTACAAGTGCTTATGTTTGGGAAACAAGCGAGAGGACACTTTGTAGGCAACAATAGTATCCAAACATAATAGCAGATTCAACTCAACTCCCAAAAGCCAAGGGCACCAAGGCAGAACACTCAATAAGAGTGAGCAAAGGATGACAGGAAAGAATACACGCTACAAAATATAATTAGCCCTCCACATTTGCAGGTTTAACTTATGTGCATTTGACTAAAATGTTCTCCCTGGGAATCTATATGTCCTCCAGTACAATTCTATGGTGAGCTTCCAACAGAAGTTGGCCACAGAGTCATGCTAGAAGACTGTAAAAACTCCCTGAGAGCTGAGAGGTAAAACAAATTTACTTTATGCACAATTTTTCACTTTCACAGAGGTCCTGTCCTTCTAACCCTGGTAAATGGTCAGACTCTGAAGCTGTCTCTCATAAGTCTTTGCCACCATCACTGTTTCTTTTGCAACATGTACATGGCAACAACATATGTGGCAATGCTTGGATCAAAACTTCATTGTTATGAGCGACTTGGATATTGGGAACAGCATGATGCACACACC